GACGACTCGCAAATTTTTCAAATATTCTCTATGACATAATGCACAGCTCATCTGTTGGGCATTCACAATGTTCTAATCTCGTACCACCACGCGGCTCTGACGTTGAGATGAATTTTTAGGAGAATAATCACCGAGATATTGAAATTTTTCGTGGCATCAACGTGGGCGATAGCGATGGCATAAGAGCTAAAATAAATGAGTAAGAGTTTTTGGCGGTTGGCCACTCGTCGAAACACCTAGGTATGAACTATAAAACTTGGAAGGGATGAGTCACTAGCACTCAGTCATCCTCACCAATGTTTCGTTACAGGGATCATCGTACACTCGTGAATATTCTTGAGTTGTACCGATGCATCATGAGGCCAAATCGCTGAGCCCATCGATATCAGAATCAAATTGTGATTCTTGGGAATAGCTACATCGCCGGAATGATGTCCGCGGGTGATCGATCTCCACGTTGAACATATCGGCGAGATGTTGGGAGATCGCTTGTCCATTTTTCACGCTTGTCAGAGATCACCCGTAGAATATTATTCATACTCCGCTGCGAAATTCGCTTTCGAAATTGTCTGCGGCATCGGCTGAGGTTCGGGCGGAGTCTGCAATTTATCCTGGGCTAGTAAGCTCTGAATGAGTTTCGGTCTTACCGATGGGGGTGTTACCACTGGCGGCACAAATCCATCCCTGCACCCGAAAGAATAATGCAAAGAATAAACGCCTCTTTCAAAGGTCTTGAGGGGTAACAGAGTGCCGCGAATTTTCCAAATTTTTTTAACAAATTTCCTGCCACAACACTTTTTTTTCATCGTTATTTTACATCGCTTCGACCCGGTTAGGGTATACTGCGATGATGATCAAGACTTTAAGGGTGCCAAGTGAATTTGAAAAAAGATTTTAAAAATTTTTTTACGTCACAAGACCCGGTAAACCGCGATTCTAACCTCGCTTCGCTCGCTTCGCTCGCTTCGCTCGGTTAGATCGCGGTTTACGGGCCTTCTGACGAAAAATTGCATTCATCACAAGGTCCACAAAGTATTTTTTGACGAATGTGATTATAGCCTCGCCTTCGGCTCGGCCAATAAAGCCACATTCGTCAGAAAATACTTTGTGGACCTTGTGATGAAAATAACTATCTTTCCCTCCATCATTGGAGAAATATGTATTCATCCATCCGACGAAATTTCAAACCCGCAACCGGAACTAGACATCGAGAAAATAAATGCGGAAAATCCTCTATTTCGCGTGACGAACCTCGAGAAAGCATGGGATCAAATGGGTACGGCGGGTTGAAATATCTCTCTTATTCACCCCGGTACCCCATTGTTTTTTGTCGCCATCACATTGAACACATCATTCCCCATATCTTCAAATTTTTTCAAATTTTTCTTGAGTTCCTAGGGGGTTGAAACGCTCAATTTAATCAAAACTCCATAAGAGGCCGTGTATAAGACTGATTTTGTTTATTTAATTTCTCGATATCCATAAGTTCTAAAATTTTAAAATTGTCACCGATGTTCACCATCTGTCTAATACTATTAATTAAAAAAATTATAACTTTGTTGGTGAATGTCAATTTTCAAGGTCATCGCCAAATTCACTTGGCACCCTTAAATGGGTAGATCGCACCATTCTACCCGGCCGGGATTTGCACTCGGAACTCGGAAAAAAGCGAAATGAGAAGTACTACAATTTATCCCCTGATAATCGTGTAAACTTCACTGTGTCCACCTTTCTCAAAATTAAACCTAGACAATCCCATGATCACGCTGCCAGAATGTCCGCAAATATACTGGAAGATTTACGACTGTGACAAGGTAGAAACATCCCGCGTCATGTTCACCGAGCACAACATCATTTGGATGACAATATAAAATGAAGCCCCAAGCCCGCAACATCTTACTCTCAATTACAAAATTCGCCCAAAACTCATTGTCAGTGCTCCATTAAGGGGAGACTACTGTGAGTTGTAAAAGTCGTGGATTATTGGAGTGAGACTTTTCATAAGTTGAAGACCGATTATATAGATCTGAAAACGAGTAATTAGTGCAAAAAAAATTTTTTTCAATTGTTCGTTTGCCCGAAAACGCTTAAAATGATAAAAACAGTCCAGGGCCTCCAATTTTTCAGCTACAAAAGATTTTTTTTTTTCAAAATTTTCGGAAAAATGTGTGGAACAACAATTACGAGCCAGTTTCTTGGAATTCGACTCCTACACGGCTGATTTCGTCTTTTTTTCATGTAAAAAAATTCACCATTTGTGTAAAAACATACAAAAAAAGCAAATTTAGCTATGTAAGAGGTGAATTTTAAAAGACTAGCTCGCAATTGTTACTCCACATATTTTTCCGAAAATTTCGAAAAAAAAAATCATTCGTAGCTCAAAAATTGGAGGCCCTGGACTGTTTTTGGCATTTTAAGCGTTTTCGGGCAAACGAACAATAAAAAATTTTTTTTTGCACTAATTATTCGGTTTCAGATCTATGTAATCGATCTTCAACGTATGAAAAGTTTCACTCCAATAACCTACGACTTTTAAAACTCACAGTAGTCTCCCCTTAACAGACCGAAAAATATTTCCGCCTTCTCGTTAAAATATGGATACATCCAGCCATTAGATTAATTCATGAACCGATTTCCAATAAATTAAACGTCCCATCGATGCTAACAAAATCGCGTCAATTTGGGGCTTCTGATATCCTCGAGCGTCACAGCTCCTGATTCATTTCGCTCGGTATCACATCTGAGAATAGAAACCTCTCCTCGAGCGATTACAATTCACTCGGATTATATCCATCGAGTGTCGTCACAGAAAGTAGCAACAACACGCTCCAAAAAGCCCGGTGTTTCGTATGGTTGACGCCCACACGCCTGTCTGACAAATCTCGGGCCGTTTCCACTTTTAGATTTTAGAATCTTTCGGAGGAACTGAGGCGTGTCATTACGCGCTATCTGTAAACAACTGGTTGGTAATATTGAGGGATGGAGTTCTTGCAAAGAATGTTTACACGACTGCAGGTTAAAAATGATGTGTGACCCGTCGGACACTCGGGGAAAATTCGATGACTCTATTGCCTTTTTTGAGAACTTTTGAAAATTCATGTGATTCATCTATTTAGAAGATATCAATATTCTGGGAGAGTGTTGCGGCATTTTTAGGGGGAGGGGAGTAAAATGGATCATCTTACACGGATAAAATTATTTGGTGAAATTTAAGGACTAATTGATTAATTTCGAATTCTTAATAATGAAATTATTGCATGAATTATTATAATAAAATTATGTGAAATGTCAATGAGAAAAAAATCGAAGGAGTTCATAAGACGTTTTAGCTGAAAATTTTTAACAGTGTTATCGATACAAGGCGACCAGGTTGAACCTCTAATTCAATAAATTCAATCAATTTTGACTACCAAAGAAAAAGGTAAGGGCATTCACACTTTTGAAAATAATCTCAATCATTTGTATCTTGATAATCGATCGATGACTCGCCTAGAAGTTGGTTTCGCAATAATCTACAATTTGTTGTTAAATTTGATCCATCAAAAAAATTGAGGAACATTTACCGAGAATTTAGGAAATGGTTGCCGAATAAAATTGAAAAATCTTTTCTGAATTTTAATTAATTAGCTGTTAAATTGTTGAATTAAATTGTGTTAAGATAAGTTGAATGGTTAAATTTCAACCACTGGCTGGTGAAATTCACCAAATAATTTTTTCCGTGTGGTTTGTCAGGAGATCGAGATCTGCTGAGTGGAATTGAAGATTTTTATAATACAAAGCCAAAACAGGCGCTTCGCGCGTAAAGAATTGCCTTTTTCTCATCAGTATCAGAAAATATCGTACGATACAGATGAAAAAATGGACTTCCCGACAAGTGTAACTACACACTGGTCAACAACTACTTTGGATATTCTTAAGGATATCCAATTATTTTTTACAGTTTGGTACATACCACACTATACATTCAACCATTTTTAATCATCAAATTTGTCAATTAAACTGCACGAGAAAAATTTGAAAAAAATCACGAATATTCAGTGTCATTCAAATTAAATTACATTTTTAAACATTCGTTGTTTATAAATAAGTAATTGAAATCGTTTAAACTTTCTGAAATTATTATTTTTTTAGGCATAAAATTGATTTCTGGTAAAATTCTGAAAACAAATAAATTTGTTGGGATTCCGAATAAATGATTTTTATGGAGGAAAATTGATTGTTTATAAATTATTTATAGAAAATGCTCGTAATTTTTAAAAAATCCAATTTTCAAATTATTGCACCAATCTTCCTCCAAACGTCAACTTTCCAATTTTTCTCAGATTTTTTAAATATTTTATAACTGTTCGATATCGAGATTCAAACTCAGACCTACAAAATTTGAATAATAAAATAATTCTAAAATTTCCGGAAACTTAGGGTCAAATGAAAGCTCTGATGTGCAGCTGCAAAAGTAGAAAATCATTTCACTGATGAAAAAATTGCCAAACTACTTGGATATCCTTAAGAAACTTTCCACAGTTCTGCTGTGCGCTAGAACCTTCTGGAAAGTGTATTAATACCCTCCAAGGTCGCTTTAAAACCCAAACTATTGAAGAACCTCGCAAATTTTCGACTGAACTCAAATCTTGAATTTCTAGAAGTTTGAAATTTGCATTTTCATTCAGTCACTTCGATCATTGTCATCGCTGTCAACGTTGAAAGAGGTCGGCATGATGCACCGCCCCCTGAATATCTTCATTCTCGAATTTTATTTATCAAGCGTTATGTATTTTCGTCGCAGCATACGTACCGATTTATTTCTGTTGTTATGGGAGGACACGTAAGCGCCTGGTCTCAAATTCTTGAGCAAGAATTTCAAACTGGGTGAATGATTACGAGAGAGATATGAAATAATAACGAAACATATATTACTCAGTTACAAAAGGGAACATAAACATTTACATTGAGAGGGCGGAGGGAGTGTGGGGATGGGGATGGGGTGGATTTTTTTTCTGTTCTCCAATTATCTTCGTTCACTTTCCGAGGATAATTTTGCGTCCAGCGCCCATGTTGGAGCCGGCCTGGGTCGCACCCTTGTTGGAACCAGCCTGGAGGCCAACGATTGTCTGACCAGCGCGGAGCTGCTCCTCTGAGAAGTCACGCTTGCATTCCTCGGAGGGCTTGGGTCCCAGGTAGGGTCCCTTCCATTCTGGGTGCAGGTATGTCTATTTGGAACAACAAAAAATGAAATTTCACATTTTTAAACAAATTCAATGGGTTTTGCAACAATTTTTCAATTCCTGGATATGAAAATTGACTGAAACACTAGAAAGAAAGCCACGCTTTTTTTATTTCAATAAGTGGTGAAAAATTACCAAGCCGACATGACGGATTTTTTATCAAATTTTTACACTTCGTCATTTTACCAAATGCAAAAATTCCTGTGACTCAAATCTTTAGCGAAATGGTAAAATGGGTTTATCTCCGAATCTCAGAGAGATAACGAAATTTTTGTAACTACCTTTTTTGTAGAGCGAATTGAGGGCTACAAAAAAGGTTATAACAAAATTTTTGATATCTCTCTTAGATTTCGAGATATTCACTGAAAACTGGCCTATAGTCAAAACCGACTTGAACCCTTTTGCTATTGTACGAGGGAAATAAATTTTGTATTTAAACAATTTTATTATTAATAAAAACAAATTTCATACTGTTGATACAAAAATCGCATTCGATGTAATAAATGCAATATGAGAATTATTTAAAAATGTATAAAAAATGAGAGGAAAATTGTTAGTAAAATTGGATTATTTTTTCTGCAATAACTTTGATTGAATTTACTTACCGTACGACCAAGGGAGAATAAGGTGGTCACAACCTGTGCGATATCCTTCTTCTCGAACAAATCAACTGTCTGGAAGACATCAGTATCAGGTACGCCGTACGCCTTCATTGCCTTCTGGAACCTAGAAAAATTAATTAACATTTAAGCTGTTATTCCTGCTGTCAAGAGCGAGGGATTGAGAAGAGAAATTGAGAGTGAGAGGTGTCACTCACATGTTGATGTTCTCCATCATCTTGAACTGTCCACCGCTGGTGTTGACCTTGGGGACGGATCCGGGGGCGAGTTTGTTCATGACTGCACAGAGAAGCTGCCCATCGTGGATAACGTCCTCGAAGGGCTCATTAGCGGGGAATTTCATGCCGAGGATTGACTCGATCCATTCCTGGGCCTCTTTCTCCTGCTGGGGGTCACGCTTGGCCAAAGTCTGTAATTTCATATTCAAAATTATTATTCATTTGTTTTAGTTTATCTTTAATTTCATGGATTTTTGCAATGTTTCGAGAACAGGAGACGAATCAAAATAAAATCACAAGCATTAATTCGCGAATATCTCGTAAACTAATGGGTTTAGAAAAAAATGTCATTAAATATTTTTTTTAGATTATGAAATTTTCTGCAAAAAGCTTCGAGAGCATTTTCCTCTAAATTCAATATTTCGCGAGATAATAAAACAGATAACTGTAGTTTTCAAGATAATAGTAGAAGACCAATTCGAAGATTCGCAGGCCTTACTTCGCAAATATCTCAGAAACTACTGGGTTTAAGAAAAAATGTCAATAAATCTTTTCTGCAGATTATGAAATTCTCTACAAAAAGTTCTTACAACAATTTCCCCTAAACTCACTGGTTTCCGAGGTAATCGTACAATGAAGGAAGAATAGTAAATCCTAGACGCGTCCCGTGTCCTTTTCCACTTCACTACTTGAATTAACCCCTCAATAACAGACAGGCGTAAGTGGCACACATCGCCTCTCCGTTATTGAGCCGTCGGGATGGATATTGTACCTTGGCGCGGACTTGACGTTCAAGAGCCATTTCTTATATCGGAATTAAGTTTTACAGTTCCTGGATGTGCACCGGGATTTCGACTGAAGTGCTGAAACAGTCGGCCCCTGGCTCTTATACCCTTCACCCCCAGACGACTATCATCTCAGCCCACGCGAAAAACTCCAACTGGGGAAAAAGAAGATGAGCAGCGATTCTTCCCTCCCTCCCCCCGCTCGCCCCTCCAGAAATCTCCGCCGATTTTCTTGCTTCTTTCAATTTTTCGGAAATCTAATATTAGATTATGATTATTACGTGGCATATGCCAATGTCGTGACACTCTGGGATAGATTTGTCATCGAGTTGTCAGTTCAATGTGACATTGCGATGATCGAAATGAGAGGAAGTGAAGCGTGCAAGGAATTGTTTCTGCGGATTGGAGAAGGAGATGAGTCAAAATATTTATACGAACAGTTTAGCAAATATGATTGAAAATAATAGATTTTGAGGGAAATATTGAGCCGTCATTTTTTGGTTGATTTCTACTGAAATGTTCAATAGAAAATATTTAATAGATAAAGCCAGTAAAAGTCGATTTTTCTATATAACTTATTCTCTTCAGAGATTTTTGATTGAATTTCCTCGCCTCAAATTTTCTAAGGTTTTTTCATTCCATTTTTATTTTCCTCTCATCAAGAAAATCAAACAAAAAATTTGAGCCGAGACAATTCTGTAAAAAATATCTCAATAGAGTAAGTTGTATAGAAAAATCGAATCTGTTGACTTTTTGTATTAAATGTTTTCTATTGAACATTTCAATAGAAATTCAATAGAATTTCCGAACGAATTTTCTAGGTGTTTCTATTAAATTTTGTCATCCGTGTTGTTCTAACCGATTAGATCCCGAGATATTTGACGTGTTGAGTTGAACATATATTTGGTAAATAATCAGTAAAGAACATTTTCACTCATCTGTTTGTGCCCCTCAGCCAGTGAATTGAATTCGGATTTTAAGGATTCAAAAACATTTTTTTTAATTCTTTAACGAAATTTTTAATCAATAGAAAGTGAATCGATTAATTACGCTATTGCGGGAATATCTCAGAATCTATTAGTTTTAGAGAGAAATTTTGAAAGACTTTCTGATAGGAAATTTGATTTTTTATAAAGAATGTTTTATGATGTTTTCCCTTAAAGCGATTAATTCCTGAGATATTTGACATGTTGGAGTTGAAGACATATTTATTAAATAATAAATAGACTATATCTTCCGTTGTCTCGTTGTGCCCCTCAACCACTGCATTAAATTTAAATTTTAAGGATGCAAAAAAAAATAGAGATAAAAATTCTCAGCGAAATGTCAATAAGTAGTCAATGCATCGACGAACTTCAGAAACACTAGAGATATTGTGCGAATATCTCCGAATCTGTTAGTTTTAGAGAGAAATATCATGAGACTTTTTTATAGAAAACATAATTTCCGATAAAAAATATTTTATGATGTTTTCTTCTAAACCCGTTAATTCCTGAGATATTCCCAGAATAATAAGCAGAATTCGTTTTAAGTCCCCCTATAGTGCCCCTCGACTACTGAATTGCGACTGACGAGTATAATTAGTGATGGAATTCTCAATAATGGGAGATGAGACGATAAATTGGATGCAGAATATTATGCAAATATCTTCGAAACTCTTAATTACACAGAAAAACATCACAAGACATTTTCGCAAGAAATTAAATTCCTCGCAAAAAAGTTCTTCTCATGTTTTTTTCTCAACCTATTCGTTACCAAGATATTTCCAGAATAATCAGCACGCTTAATTTTCTCACGTCTCCTAGTGCCCCTGGACCACTGAATTTCGAGTAATTCGCAAGAAAATAAGAGCGTCACGTCGTGGTTTTCAAGGTAAAGCACCTCTTTAAATAATCTCCACCAGGAATATGGGTCAGGTTATAAATGCGTGATCCAGTTGAAAGAACGTTGTGCATTCTAGATTCTCTGTAAACATATACCAGTCATGATTATTGTTTCACTTTTTACTCTAACGTGACATTTGTACTCTCAGAAAGATTCTAGGACGGTAGTCATTTGGAACCTCTGTCACCCTCAGTTACATTGATTGTGAGGGGTTGAATTATTCAACGAGTGAATTAGAGAATTGTTGGCTGCTGAGTCAACGTTAAATATATCCAGGCATCTGCGTCTTCGTGGGGTAACAGCTGTTTGCATTAACAAAAAAATATAATGCCGTCGGGAAGTGGGGAAACGTAAAATGTAATTTTTTCGCATTCTCTCACGTACGAAAAATTTCATCAAAAAGCAACCAAATTCGCTAGAAAACCCTATTTGATTTCTATTGAGCTTTCTTTTCGCTTATATGTGTGTTCATTTTTCAATAGGAAAGTTCAACGGAAAATATTCCATTGCGTATTGATATCTCAAGTTTTAAGGGGTTGGGCAACAAAAAATGGAAAAATCCGAGAGGGTATACATTAGATAGATAAATAAAAAAATACATTAGTAAATTTTAATTAATTTTTTCCGGCCATTATAGCGTCTTCGGAAGATCCTGAAAAAAGGTGCGCCATGAACCCCTCCACAAATTAATCAGTGTATTTGAAAATTGTATTGCTAAAATGAGAAAAAAAAATTTTGAGAATGAAATATATTCACCCTTTCCCCATGAACCCCCTGCAAATTCAAGGGTTTATTTATAAAATGAACTCTATGAACAAATTCATTGGGGATGAAATATATTGATTTTAGATTTTTGATTTTTTTACCCCTTTCCCTCTTTCAACCCCTTCCCATCCCTCGGAAATGAAAAGGTGTATCGAAAAAATGAGTTCCAAAAAAAAAGAAAAAAAAATTAGGGGAACAATAATATCTATCCCTCCCCCTAAGGACTTCTTATTCTTTGTAAATACATGTAAATACTGTGGTTTCTTTTTAATAAAAACATGGTTACAGAAAACGGTCGTCGTCGGTAATTAGAATTTCAGTAGCGAAATGGTAAAACGGTTTAAGTCGACTTATCTTCCAGTTGAGTTTTTGAGAAATATTTCCTAATCGAAGGAAGATAGCGAAATTTTCGTAATGACATTTATTGTAGCTCTCAGCTGGCTCTACGAAAAATGTTATGACAAAAATTTTGCTATCTCCCTTAGATTCCAAGATATTCATTGAAAACTGGCCAATAGTCAAAATTGACTTGAACCGGTTTGCCACTTCGCTACTGATTTATATTCGATCAACACGGGAGGGAGTGAGACAGTCGTAAAATCCATAGTTTCACTCCAAACCACTTGTCTCAATTCAAATCACTTGGCTCGTTTCCGAGTTGATAGTGGCGACATCTGCCAGATTTCAGAAGAGCTAACATCCCCGAAATTGACAGGTGATATTTTTATTTTTTTATTGAAGTATTAACCTACAACGGGTTATTTACATTATCAAACAGAAAGTTTTAATTCAACATTGGTTCAATTTCATTTGTGTTTACATCATAGTTTCGCTTCTCCTCAGATTCTAATTTTGTTACTTTTGATGAACTCGTGGATTATCCGCAGGGGTTCTAAGTATTTAGAAGCAAGGAATGCAAATATAGTGAATGCCCTGGAACACCTCAGATTTATTAATTTATCAATCATTCGTTGTCTCCCTTCAGAGTAAAGGTGACAGTACTGTAGGACATGGTTAATATCTTGTGTCTCGGTGTTGTCTCCACAGCTGCATTCCAAGCTATTGACAGGTGATCACCTCAAGTACAGAGATACTGATTACGTCTCACAAAGAACATTAAAAAAACCCATCTTGGGCTCAACCGAATGGTCATAATGTCCAACGCGTAGGTAATTAGATCCCAGGTCTGTTGCCCCTGTACGAATTATAATTAGTGTTTGTTCGAGCGGCAGAATTCAACCGCCATATTGTGTTGTGAACTTTTTCCTTGTAATTATATGCTAATTACTGTTGTTGCCCTCTGAGACTTAACTATACACCTACGTGTCGTAGGTTATGGCTTTTCATTTGATCCTGCGCAATTACTGTCCCCGCAACACCAAATAATAACTATAATATCTAGGGGATTTCGACGGATCTAGGGACAAAAATAGAAAAAAGGAACGTGCAGGACAGGCCGTAAACCAAGATTTACTCTATCAATTCAATTGCTAACATTTGACACCAATGTGCAATGGCTTCAAACACTGGGAAAGGAAAAGTCAAAATTCCGGCAGTACCGGGCACCAAGCCTTCCATTAAAAATGCCCAATTACTTGTTTCAACTGGAATTCCGTCACTCGACAATATTATAGGTATGAATACACTGTCAGAAAATTACTCTTGAAATTTCAAGTGAAAATGCTTGAAATTTTTAACAACGACAAAGTTACATGAAATTTCTGCAGAATTCTTCATTGATGAATCAGTTAATTTCTTGAATGTTCAAGTAATTCTCCAAAAAGCCTCAACATTTTGAAAATTCAGGCAATAACATTCCTGAATTTTCAATCTGTTGAAAATTGAATTGCATGCGACATTCAATTTTCACAATGAGTTTGGAAATTCAAGCTTTCATCGAAAAATCAATGATCGTTTAACATGAAAAACCCAATTTTCTGGAATTTTCAAGACGAATGATAGTTTAGTAAACATTTTCATTTGAATTTGAATTCAAACTCACAACATTGAAAATTCCCACGTATGAAAAAATCGTATAGAAATTCTACAGCCTTTTCGTATATAATATTCCGATATTTCAATACGGATATTTTTTATGCAAATTATTTCCATACGATTTCTATAGATTTGACTCTAACGACCCACTGCCACATGTATAGAAACATTTCGTATGGAGTTCCTACATTTCTCTACGTTTTCTTCTGAAGCCTTTAGACATCTTTCTTACGAAAACAAAAATTGATGTAAAAATTGATGTATAGGGGAGGTTGGGGTAAAACGGACACTTTTGACTTTAAAAAAATGTTTATGAGGGGTTGAAATGTTGATAAAATTTAATCTTTTTTTCTCAATACAAAGAACAATTTCTTCCCTTTGTGACGAGCCTAAACTGAGCTCAATTGATCAATTTGTTTCTGAGTTATGAATAATTTTAAAAAAGTCTGAAACGTCCGTTTTACCCCACCCTCTGCTACAAATAATTCGCATAAAAATATCCGAATATCATATACGGAAATCCTATAGAATTTCTATCCGCAATCCGCATGGAAAATTTCTAAACGATTGTGTCACACGTGCAGATGACACTCTGACTGAAATTTCAAGAAATTTCTAACAGTTCAATATTAATTCAACGTCCACCAACAGCCACATTGTTTTACGAGTGATAATTTACACATTGTTTGTTTTCTTCAAGGGGGAGGCTTAACTATTGGCTCAATTCTCCTGATAGGTAGGTCCTAATATTGACTCCACATACAAAAATATTTTATAATTGTATCGAATATTTTTCAGAGGAAGATACATACGGAAATTACGCCAAAGTCATGCTAAAATATTTTCTCGCGGAGGGAGCTGTGATGTCTCACTCGCTGTTAGTAGCATCCCAAGACACAAAACCGGATCAACTGATATCGGAGATGCCTGCTGTTGTGACAGAATCTCCAGCACCCACACCACCAGCTCCCGCCGATGAGAAAATGCAAATTGCCTGGCGATACCAAAACATGAGAATATTGGATTCTTCACCCAAGAGTGGACAAATGTTCGGTCACTTCTACGATCTCACCAAAAAAATAGATAAAAATATTTTGAGTAATACCGACATAACTCTCTGGGATGGAGAGGACATTACATACGAAACAAGTGGTTTCAGAAATAGCGCTTACGTTGATTTACTTAAGACTGTTCAAGAGACCCTTAAAAAGGGTGAATTCTACGTCAATGCCAGCCCCAATAAGAGAAATATATTGAGGATAGGGCTACACTCCCTGGGCTCAAGGCTCTGGCTGTGTGATACTGAAGAAACTATGCACCATGACTTTCTCAAATTTTTATACTGCTTCAGAGCACTTCTGAGAAGTGCATTCGCTGTTGCTGTTATTACAATGCCATCACAGTGTTTCCAAGGCCATGTAAGGATTTAACCGAAAATTTTTATTTTCTCTACACGTTCAATTTCACTGAGAGGAAAATTATTTTTTCTAAATATTCATTTACTTGAGAGAAGCATTTATTTTTAGAAAATAGTATTTTTCCTATTGACTCGTGCTCAGGTGAGCCTGAATAGGTTTCAATTATGACGATCGTGTTGCTCTAGAGGATGACTATGTTGCACTTGACCTTGGACGTACTCGTCCAATGATTATTCATTTTTCCTAAATTTCTTGTTTTCTAGAGGGAAGAATTTCGATTAATTTTTTAATGTTGGTAATTATTGAGGGGGTGCACTCTAAGTGATGACTAACATGCTCATTTTCTCGAGCAATATAATTTTCATAAGGTAAATGTACCTGCCAGCTGTGACATTCCAATCATTTTGATGGTCTCAAGAATCTATTGAGAGTAAAGTACGATCGGAGTTATGATTTTAGTCAATAAGAAAAGTTATAGACACCAATGCAGAGTGATTTATTGAATAATAAGAGAGAAAAATCCCACTCACATCAACTCGTGCTACGACAGAGTCAATTCTTGAGCCACAAGTTAAGAAACTCAGAATTTTAAAACGTTTATATCTCCGTTACAATAGTAAAATGGGATTAAAAATCCCTTGGCCAAGGTTTCGAACAGTTAAAAATTTAATAAAAATGTCTAAATTAGAGTAATATCCGGATATTTCACTGAAATATTGCCAATTAAAAGAATAGGAACAATGAGAATGGCATTGATCCTACGCTCGTTTTGCACCCAACTGTCAACTCGTAACGGACTAAACGGATGAAAAAATCATTTAAAAGGTTGGACTGTCCAATGAAAATATAATTTTGCGCATCGAGATATTTTTTAACGTTGTTTTATCACAAAATCGGATACTCACGATGTAATTAGTTCGGATGTAACCTTTCCATATCACTCAAATCACGAGACGAGGATAGGGACATGTGTCAAACGAGCATGAGGACAAAAGAGCGAGCGTAGGGACATGGGACCTTTCACATTTATGCACGATTATTTATTAAAAAATAGTAATTATCATAATTAATATAAATAAATTCCAATTCTGAAGGTTTTACCCTCTGATATGTAATTTAAATCATCGCATCTTCTCGCTCATTTCGATAGAAATATTGGACTAATGATGTGTTCACCTTAGCTAGACCAGCGTAGGGTCATTTAGCTCAATTGACACCTAATGAGGATTGCCTGGGAGTGACTCGACTGGAGAAATCCAGCATTGAAAAAATAAATCCTTCTCAAGTAAACGGATATTTGGAAAAAATAATTTGTTTTCAATGTTGAGCCTGTAAAATTAATTCGTATTCTGTTTTCATCCATTCATCACGATTGTTTTCACCAAGAACGACATTGTGGGACGAATGGAACATCTCGCAGACACTGTAGTGTCCCTGGAGTCATTCGTGGGTTCATCGAAAGAAACGAATCCCATTTTCAGAGACTACCACGGGCTACTTCATATAAAAAAATTGTCTGCCATCAACACCCTTGCTCCACATTGTCCAGAGTCGTTCGATCTCGCCTTCAAGCTACGAAGAAAGAAATTCATCATTGAGGTGAGTTCATTATGTCACTCCATTTGATAGTGATGATTAGTTGGGTGTGAATTCAATCGACAATTCCATTTCCTCTTTAGATTCTCCATTTGCCACCAGAATTGGGTGACTCAACTCAACGTGAACAGGATGACAGCATTCACGCAACCACTTGCGGCAAAGGTGGCAGTAATTTAATGGATTTCTAATCCAATTAAAATAAATAAATAAGACATTGATTTGAGTTTTGGCTGGATTGTTGGCCCACTTAACACCAACGGCGTGACCCATCGACGGTGAATTAGTGCCGAGAGGCAGGAGATAGGCTCAACGAACACTGAATAAATAACACATATATGTATATGGCCCTGTAAACTCAAGATGCTACAGAAAATTAACTATCTCCATTCGAATCCATCAATTTTTCATCTCAACTTTGGTGAAACTCATTGAAAAATGTAAATAAAAAACAGTTGTATACCAGATCACTCGACCATGAACAAATGTAATTAAACTTTTCACCTCACCCTCTGTATCTGTATTTCCTTCCGGTTTTATCCGGTGGGTCGACTCGCATGAGAGGATTCAACGCGTGTTACCGCGTTCCTGAATACTAGCTCTGAATCGCGGGGGAGCATTGGGTGTCAGTTCATTCCTGGGAATCATCTAGGACTGTTCATATGTTTGTGTCTCGGAATATTACAAGGCAATGGACAAGAAGCGGCTGACTGGATCCAGCACATTCGTGTACTGCTCAAATCTGCTGTTTTTGGTAAAATTATCGACTGTAAAAATAATTATTGGACACCAGCAATTGTTATTCACCTGCAAAGAACGAAATAATTGATGAAATATCAGTTATTTTTTATTACTATATACTAGTGAATTTCATGAGCAGGATTAGTTTTTTGTATACTGAGAAAAAAATTATTTTTGACAAGTATTCAGTTACTTAAGAGTATTTATTTTTACAAAATCGAATTTTTCAGTGGGATGAACTCCTCCAATGATTATTCATTTTTCATGAATGTCTTATTTTCTAGAGGGAAGAATTTCGATTATTTTTTTAATGGTGATAATTATTGAGGAAGTGCACTCCAATTAATGGCTAATATGGTCATCTTCTGGAGTGACCACGCACGAAAAAATTTAATAGAAAAACCTATCGAATGCGTTAGAAAATTCTATTGAATTTCTATTAAACTTTCTGTTAGTTTTTGGCTGATTCTATTGGCACGTTCAATAGAAAAAGTTAACAGAATTCGATTTTTCTATATAACTTATTCTTTTCATATATTTTCTATAGAATTTGCTCGACTCAAATTTTCCAATTTTTTTCATTCTTTTTCTTTTCTTCTCATCAAGAAAATCAGACGAAAAAACTTAGAAAATTTGAGTCGGCGAAATTCTATAGAAATATCTCAGTAGAATAAGTTATATAGAAAAATTGAATTCTATTAATTTTTTCTACTGAATATTTTCTATCGAACACTTCAATAGAATCGGCCAAAAACGAATAGAACAGTTCAATAAAAATTCACTAGAATTTTTTAACGACTTCGCTAGGTTTTCCTATTAAATTTTTTCGTCCGTGACTCGACTGGAGAAATACGGCACTGAAAAAATAAATACTTCTCTCAAATAAATGGATATTTGCCAAAAATAATTTTTTTCTGTGTATTTACTGGAACATAATTTTAGATGTCAGGATTCGCAATCATGTTTCTCGGAGTTTTGCTGCTTCTCGATAATGAGCGCGTTCTCCTATCAAGACTTGTTGGCTTCAACGACGTCCACACGGATCAACCTCCGGCGTACTATTTGTCCTTCGCCATGGTAGGGATGGGCTTCGTTATAGCTCTTACGGGACTGTTGGCAACGTGTTTTACTAGTAGCTGCGTTACTACTTGGGTGAGTTTGCCGAGGAATTTGGAGCGTGTGTTTGAAATATATTCAAATAGAAAGAGGTGATACGCGCCGGTGCTTGTAAAGCATATCGAGATATTACAGGGGGAACCCCCATAACTATGCGACATTGCAATTTGAATCTTATATAAAAAGGTGATGTCACACTTTTATTCCTGAATGTTCTGAAAGAGAAATCGCATGCATGATGATGATGATACTTATTTGTTGGTAATACTGATGTTATTCGTGTTGGTGATTTCCAACAGAGCATGTATTGATTCTCAATTGACTCAAAGTGACGTTTTAACCGAATTTTTCAAGGACTTAACACAAATTTCCACAGATTCCTATCGAAAATACTTCGCTTTCTAATATACAAGTTTCCATAGCTTTCGTCGTATCTCCTATTGATTCTCGATGGAATTTTCCATCTCTTATATAGAAAGGAGATGTCACACGTTTATATTTCTAAATGTCGAAAATAGAAATAGCATAAATGACGATGATGATACTGATTTTGTTGATAAGGTTGATCTTACCGGTGGTGCTAATAATGTTGGTGTTGGTGATTTCCAACGGAATATGTATTGATTCTCAATTGAAGTTTTCATGGATTTCGACGCATTTTTCAGACTTTTGATAGAAGTTTCGATAGATTTCTATGGAAAATCCTTCGTTTTCTAATGCAAGTTTTCACAGTTTTCATCGTATCTTCTATTGATTCTCGATCTACATTTCCATTCCTTTGCAATAAAAAAAAAATCATGGATTTTCAATTTAAGTTTTCAGCACTTCCCACGAATTTCTCCTTAGTAATACTAGAAATTCGTATACGTGAAAGAACATAATGATTTTAATCAACTTACAATAACAACGTGATAAATCATATAAAATCTATCAAATTGCCAGGCGCGCAAAGCCTTCGATTTTCCGGAGAAAAAAATTACGATGAAATTTTATTGATTCAGTTACTAATCTGGTTCTGTCACAAGTGAAAAATTAATTAATTCTTTTCAGTACGTAATGTCACTTACTCTTCTTTTATTGGGAGAATTTGCGTGCTGCGTCATAGCAGTATTCTGGCCACATCTACTGGGCATCGAAATCCGGTCAAGCAGATTAGTTCGCGCTTTGCAGCGAAATTACGCACTGCCTGGACGTGAACAATTTACTGCAGCTCTAGACCTTGCTCAAACGGCTGTACGTATTAAACGTCTTGGTGAAGCATGACGGATTTAAGGAAGTATTACACCCTTTTCGCCAAAATTCACGTTTTTTGAATTTTTCTGGCAAATTGTTGATCGAATTGACGTAAAAAAATGTACCGTTTTTGCGTTTTATCATTACTTGATGACTCACGAAATTTCATGATCGTGCAACCATCTTCCTGCGTTTTTTTCTAAAACCTTTCGGACATTCACAAAACTTTTGAAAAAATGCAGGAAAATGATTGCACTACTATGAAACTTCGTGAGTCAGTCAATAATGGTAAAACGCAAAAACGGTATATTATTTCGCATCAATCACGCATGAAAAAATCCTATAGAATTTCCTATAGGATATCCTATAGGAAATCCTATGGAGAATCCGAACATTTCCTATAGGATTTTTCTGGCGGGATTTCCTACAGGATTTTCTATAGGATACCCTATAGAATTCACTAAAGGGTTTTCTATAGAAAGTACCAAAACTGAGACTCGAAACCAATCGGTCACAAGGGTCAGAATTAGGGTCATAAATTTGATAGGAAATTCTATAGGAAATCCTGTGAGAAATCCGATAGGAAATCCTATCAGAAAAATCCTCTAGGAAATGTTCGAATTCTCCATATTTTTTCCGTACGTGATCCGATCAATAATTTGCCAGAAAAATGAAAAAAAACGTGAATTTTGGCCGAAAGGGTGTAGTACATCCTTAACGTGGGGTTCCATGGTTGTGTAATTTAATGGGATCGTTGAACAGTTTTCCTGCTGCGGCATCAACGGAAGCAGTAATTATGGGACCTCATGGTGGCGACTGCAGGAAGTCGGGCGCCGGGAACTGGTCGTACCCCTCACATGCTGCACCCTTAACAACACCCAGTCGCCGGATGCTTTTCTAAATCCACAACCTGAAGATCTTCAATTGTGTCAAACATTGAATCCTCTTGAACATCAGCGCGCACGGCACACTACGGTATGTATTTTATCCCTCTTGGTCAACAGTATCTCTCACTTAGACTTTTTGTCATATAAATTGATATTTTTTATTGTAATTGCGTAGCGAAGCGGAAAAACGGTTCAAGTCGACTTAGCCCTTAGCTGAATATCTCCGAATCTGAGGGAGATAATGAAATTTTTGTAATGGCCTTTTTTGTAGCCCTCAATTCGCTCTACAAAAAAGGTCATGACACAAATTTTTCTATCTCCCCTAGATTTCGAGATATTTGTTGAAAACTGGCCAATTGTCAAGATGGAATAAAGAATAAAGAGAATATTAGTCATCAGAGGCCCAGAGTAGTGTTCCTTTGGTTCTTGATGTTAGCATCCGAGAGACGGAGATAGAGTTAAGGTCGAGGTGCCTCTTCCAAGTGCGATTGAATAAAGAGTTAAAATTCATTAACCCACTGTGTCATTATTGACTATTACGCATATTTGCTAATACTTTTTTTCAATTTCTCATAATAATGAAACGACATTCAGTTGATTGAAAAATCATCATCAGTTTTATTTTTCCAGGGCTGTTTGGACATGATAGAAAAATGGACGCAGGATCAGGCGCTGATTTTTTTAGTCATGGGGCTCATTGTAATGTTGATTGAAATAAGTGCTCTAGTGAGTACAATATTAGCTTGGTCAAAGTCAAATCCAAAGAGGAAAACAAATTTGTCAACATTCACGTCGACTCAAACATTGACACACTCCCCTACATTCACCATTGAGAGTAATCACAACGTTGGTAAGCATTTCATTGACTAAGGGGAGACTACCATGAGTTTTAAAAGTCGTGGGTTATTGAAGTGAGACTTTTCATACGTTAAAGATCCATTATATAGATCTGAAAACGAATAATTAGTGCAAAAAAAAATTTTTTATTGTTCGTTTGCCCGAAAACGCTTAAAATGCTAAAAACAGACCAGGGCCTCCAATTTTTGAGCTTCAAAAGATTTTTTTTTTTTAATTTTCGGAAAAATGTGTGGAACAACAATTACGAGCCAGTTTTTTGGAATTCGACTCCTATACAGCTGATTTTGTTTCTTTTTTCATATAAAAAAATTCACTATTTGTGTAAAAAAATAGTGAATTAAAAAAACTAGCTCGTAATTATTATTCCACATATTTTTCCGGAAATTAAAAAAAAAAAAATCATTCGTAGCTTAAAAATTGGAGGCCCTGGACTGTTTTTGGCATTTGAGGCGTTTTCGGGCAAGCGAACAATAAAAAAAAATTTTTTTTTAGACAAATTATTCGTTTTCAGATCTACATAATTGATCTTCAACGTATGAAAATGCTCACTCCAATAACCCACGACTTTCAAAACTCACAGTAGTCTCCCCTTAAAAATAATAATCATACTTGTTTGAATAAAATAATCATACTTGTTTGAATTGACAGGATTGGGGATGGAGAACAGTCGAAGCCATACAGACGGCTCGACATTCTGCGGCAAATCTTGAAGGTGGTTGGAGGACAGTGAGAGACAACACCCGTTCAATTCAAACAATAATTTCCCAAGAATTGAAGAGTCATCGCAAATTGCGCAGTTATCAGCGAATCCGCCAGACAGACGTATAATGGATTTTGCTTGGCAAAGCCACAAGAAGAATCATCAGTTGGAGATACTTGCAAATGAGGAATTTTACGAGGAACGTGCCATCGATGTGCCCAATGAATCTTCTTCAAACTTTGTGTTACTCGATCATTCAAAAACCCCCAAAGGGAACAACACTAACAGAAGCCTCAAACAATTTTCAAATTATCGAGCATCACTCGCTCAAAACATGGGAACACTGCGGAGATCGAGTTCACCTCATCGACAATTTGACTCGTTAACTTCTGTTCATTATCGCAATAAGAGAAATAAGCAGAAAAATCACACTTCCTCAGGGGCATTTTCCCGAAAATACAGGAGCAGTCATAGTCACCGAAAATGTTGTTCCTTATCAAAGACCAACAAGTTACCGAACAGCCAGTCCATTCCAATATTTCGACTCATTAAAAAAGATGATGAGCTGGGGAACTCAAATATCCAGCAAAATTTCCAAAGAAATTCACACAGACACCGGAATGAAGCAGACAATGATGATTTGTCAAGAAGTAATGTTCTGCAGAAAATCTCAGTTTACGAAGGAAACGCGAGATGTAATAGTCCCGATTATGAGAATAATAAGCATCAGATGTTTGGAGTCCCCCTTGTGGGAATGCACAATGCCTGCGGTCTTCCCATAATTGCTTCAATATCAGGAACACCTCGGCAGATGAGGGAAAAGTCAATTCAGCGTCCACGAGGATCAACTAAATCTACAAGGAGGAGCTCCAGAGTTGATAGGAAAAAGAAAAATCAACACACACATCAAAAGTCGTTGGGAAAATCTTCTGTGTTGGAGAATAAGTCGAGAAAATCACCGGCAGGGTGGAATGTCAAAAGATCTACTCTGTACGCAAAAGATGATGACAATGAAGCGGCTGATGTTTTATTGAATCTCTGCTTAAATCCAATGGCTAGACATAAGAATGCCACCAATATGATCTGGTGATATCGGTTTTCCCGCTGTAAATCTGGCTTTTGTATCCCAATTTGGTGTTATCTGTTTCATTGGTGAACAATGACAGATTTAACGTTGGACTCACTGTCCTCGGAATGGTATGTTATTATATTTTATCATTATAAGAATCTCATCTCATATATAACTATTGTATTATATTATTTATGTCACAAACCTCACTCCGTTCTCGTATTCTCTTTATTAATTTTTTCAATAAATTGTTTTTTTTTCTCCATACATGATGATATCTGAGTTCAGTCATTCCCATCATTCCGTTATTCATTGCCGTCACGCAAACAAGTAAGTTTTATTCAATTAATTTCCAATTGCAGTTTAGGTTTTTTCCATTGGATTTTGTTTTGCATTGCAGAATCCGAATAGAAAAAACTTGGAAAATTGCTGCCTAAGCATTCTTGTAGAAAAAATCTCAAGAGAAAAATTCAAACAGAAATTCGGAATCTCTCAACTTTTTCGCAAAAAACAAATAGAATTTTTCAATAGAAATTCTATAGAAACCCCACAGAATTGCTACAGAATTCCAACGGAATTTTCTAGCGAATTCGCTAGGTTTTCTATTGAATTTTTTCATGCGTGTTGTTTCATCTGTTGGAATGGACATATTAACGCACGTCGAAACATCCAAAAAGGCCTGACTGATCATAATCTGGCGCCTACCCACCTCTATACCTCTGTGGAATAATTTTTCATAGATTAAAAAGCTCCATTTACCTGTTTGCTTGACAAGATCAGACACCATCAGGGAATCTCCATCAGGGAATGACTCTGAGTGCACTGTTCAAGTCCTGCATTCGATGTGGGGTATCTTAAATGGGCCGTCAGTCAAGCGTTATCTCTGTCATTGGCTTCACCGCTCATGGTGATTGACAACTAGAGACCTTATTAATCTGTATTCATTTATGGAAATGTGGATCGCGTGAGTGGAAATCCAATGATTTCCACACACACGATTCCAGAGGTGTTACCGTTATTTAGCCATCGTCAACTAAATGAAAAAAAAATTATGTATCTCATGATCATAATTTTTTTTTTAATCAGATACCAAATTCCACGCACAATGCTAAGTAACTGTAAAAAAATAAGTGTATAATTAGCAAAAAAATTGAAAAATTAAAAAAAAAATTTCAACTGTAAAATTGAGGTGAAAAATATTCATGTATTGTTATTCAAATACATTTGAATTTTGTTGTCCTCATGACCGTTAACAATTTCAAATCAGTCTGTATCAATAGAATTTTCTTATGTTCGAATTACTTCGCCTTTCGTTTGCAGTCTCATTACAATTATCATTTAAATTGACCGGAAATTTAAGAACTCCGACGACTACCTCTGCTCCTCTCTGTTTATTTACCAATGAAGGGAAAATAAGCAAATACCAAAACTGGAATTCAAGGAATTATAAATACTGTCTACACTCTCGATTAAATCACAACATTCTCTTGTGTTCAGGGTTTATCGATGAATGTTCCAATTATTAATGACAAATTTTAATATTTTTTTTTACTGGTGTCGCAATAATGATGAGTGTTTTCGTCATAGAAAAACTGACATTTTTTGAGTCAGATTTGAGTTGAAAATCTCGGGCGAGGCAGATCACCGAAGACCGTATCACCGTGGACGCTCTTTGCGAGTGCTTTGATGGAGGCCCGGATATTATGCGGATTTGGCAGCTAAAATTTTTTAAACCGTCAATGCAAATTAATAACCACTTCTTATTGGCGTTGGACGGAAACGCATAGCAATTTGAATAAACTGATTGAGGGAATACCTGATCATCGTCTTGGTCTTGCATAGTTCGACGAACTATGAAGTTGGGTACACTAACTGGTAATGATTTAGCCAGAGTGGGATGACCACCTCTGAGTGCTCTCGGAATGTGAATCCCTTCTTCTTGACCTTGAACGAACCATAATAACATTCATCTCGTCGTTCCCATTCATAAGGACAAGTTTTTTGGGAGGGCTCTTACCATCAGTATCTGATTCATCCTCTGAGGGATGTGAAGGCTCCACATACGATGTGTCATCCATTCCCTCCAGTGGGAATAGTGCTTCTGTATCGTAACTACTTACATGTAGTTTCCTGTCTCCATTCTGGCACAAGCAATTTATCAAGCTTAAACATTGTTCTTATTCTTTTTTTAATTGCCTTAAGGCCCGGGTGGATTATCTTTCGAAAACGTTATCTCAATTGTTTTTCCATCTTCATACGCAGAAGTCCCTAAAAATTATGATTGCACAATCAAAAACAGTAGAAAAAAACTGAACATTTTCAAAGAGCGTTTTTAATAAAGATTAAGAAATAAGTCCGATAGAGAAAAAATAATGAATGGATAATTTATCAGGGTAACTAACAATCTGACAGCCATTGACTACTGTGACAAATGACGACCCAACAGCTATTAGATCCATCAAATTCTAATTTGCAATTTCCTTCCTATTGGGTTTATTCCACAATATTATTCGAAAACGCTCTGAGAACATGTTCAGCTTTTTTTCAACGTTTTTTGACTGTACAACCATAATTTTTGGAGACTCCAGGGCTAATGAAAACTGAACAGCAATTGGAGATCATTTCAGATTATCAAAATAAAAAAAAACAAACCAGATCGCATTCGAAAGATAATCCACCTGGCCCTTAAAAAAAAAAAGAAATTTACCAAGTGAATATGAGCTGGATGTTTCGTAGCAGCCTGATTTTCACTCATCACTCCGGACCTATGAGGCGTCTTAGAATTATTGAGTTTCAAGGGCGATGCAATGAAGTTTGGTGTAAGATTTTCAGTCACTGCAGCATCGGCCTTGACATTGCTCGTTGCTTTGACTTTATGTTGATCACAGATTATTCTAGCTAGAAGTCGATGTTCATAATGTGCTTCTTCCCGAAATTGCTCCAACAGTTGGTGTTGTTCAGCCGTGAAGTCGCGAATTTTTTCCTCAGTCTCCGTTGCCTTTCTGTGAACAACCTGCTCCAATTGCTGTTGAAGATTCGTCAGTGCTAATTGTAAATTGCTCGACAACTGAGAGACGGAATATTTGGTGGGTGCTTCCAGGAGGTCACCATCATCAAGCCCACGGTCTATTACTACTCTGAATATTGAACTATAGTTTGGGCTAGTTTTCAGTTTTTCCATCTCTTCGGGAGACATCTGGAGAAGTAATCAATGAACATGTATCATTTTTTTGCCGATGCTAGATCAGTCCGCGCGCTCCACGTATGAAAAAATTGTGTAGAAATTTTTCTATACGGATATTTTGTATACAAATTATTTCTATACGATTTCTACAGGTTTGATCCTATACGACCTACTGCCACATATATTATAGAAACATTTCGTATGGAATTGCGACATTTCTCTACGTTTTTCTCTGGAGCGTTTAGACATCTTTCGTATGAAAACAAAAACTTATGTAAAAATTTATGTATAGAAAATATTCGCATAGAAATATCCGAATATCATATACGGAAATCCCAAAGAATTTTTATACACAATCCGTGTAGAAAATTTCTATACGATTTTTTCATACATCAATTGTAGTGAATAATTTTACATTAGATTTCTGAATTTAATATCAAAGTTTCCGAAGGAAAAGTTTCAGGAATGTATTCTATTTTTTTGTGTTTAATACATCCAGTGTGACTTTTTTGGAGCCAATCTATTCGGCGTATTGTGTCATTAGATTTTTTATGAATGATAATAGCATACATTAAAGTTATTACAATAAGACTATATTATATTATAAATACTATGTATAATACACAATATATAATAGAGTACTGTAGGGGAGAGTGGGGTAAAATGGACACTAGACTTTTGTTTTAATTACTCATAACTCAGAAACCAATTTATCATCTGAGCTCAGTTTAGGCTCATCACAAAGGGAAAGAATTGTTCTTTGTAATGACAAAAAACTATTAAATTTTATCAACATTTCAACCCGTCATTAACATTTTTTTAAAAGTCAAAAGTGTCCATTACCCCAACCTCCCCTATGTATTATAAAATATAATGTGCATAATAAAAAAAATGAAATAATAAACTGACAGTGATAATATGCATAATGCATTATAATATAGTATAGTGTAGAATATAATATAATAAAGTATTATCGTAACATCTTTAATGTAAGGGAGGATGAGGTAAAATGTACACTTTTGACTTTTTTTTAATTGTTAATGACGGGTTGAAATGTTGAAAAAATTTAATATATATTTTTTTTTCATTGAAGAAAGCAATTCTTTCCCTTTGTGATGAGCCTGAACTGAGCTCAATTGATAAATTTGTTTCTGAGTTCTGAGTAATGAAAACAAAAGTCTAAAGTGTCCATTTTACCCCACTATACTTCCATCATTTATGAAAAATATAATGGCACAATACGCCGAATCGATTGGCTTCAAAATACGTTACACTGGATTTTTCATTAAAGGAATCTCTTTCCAGTAATTATCAAGGACTCACCACCAGGTCAGTGTTGATGACAACCAAGGCAGCTCCGTGTTCTCTGTGAACGGCGTGCGTATATTTAGAGCAGTTCAGGCAACAATTGACAATCCAAGAGCCAACATTTCTGCATTCAACGAGACCTGATTGCTCCTTGCTGATGCCCTCGAGCTCCGTTGCAGTCGCCAAATTCTAAAATTTCGAAGATTACTCACTCAATCTTCGACTACTGTTGTCCTCATCATTCTTAGAAAATTAGAATCAATAGACTGAATACCCTAAGCACTGATCCAGCAGAATTCCTGAATGTTTAAATTAATAATGAATGAAAATAAGTCACTCACTTGTTGAAAGAATGGATGAGCCTTTTCACAATCATGAATCTCCTGAGTGAAATCCCCCAGCTGGCTGCCCCTCGTTTTGATTGAAACATTAAGACACTTGCACGTTATATGCATGATGAAAAATCGGTAAAAATTGCTGGTCACTTTCCCAAAATATGCAATGCCAATCTCGAGTAAGAATAACAAGAGTGCGCACAGGTTTCGTTGTTAAGTCGATTTTTCAATCAGGAAATTGACAGAAATATTGTTGAATCCTGAACAATGTGATGTCTTTCAATTATTTGAGGTTGGTTGAGTGAAGAACATTGTTCTGCAAGCCCTGGTCGGTTGATTAAAGCGCAAGAAGGAACGTGTTGCACAGTACCGGTAAACGTGACGAGCTTCACATTTCTACTTGACCAAAGTCAAATGTTTGCCTTCTGTGGAAATTAACAATCTTCGTCCCCCCAACTCACGCTGGATGCCAATAAACATTCAGCATCAGCACCTCTTTATTTCTATTTTTTATTCTTTTGTTCTTTTAGTGGAGCAATTAGAACGTTTTCAGCGTACTGTGTACTATTAGTTCTTTCACTCCGAACAATTCAAGTTTTTCAAGGTGAAGTTTTCAACAATGCTGCCCGCTGATCACTCACCCCACCTTCGATTCTTGATTTTGAAACACAGGAAGGTTTTTGGTAATTCTCAAAGGTCCCTGGACTAGTCGGTGGGCGTTTTTATCGCCAATTGATCTCACGAGTTTACTATTTTCTCACAAAGATGTAGAAAAATATCACAAAATCGCCGCTCTGTGGTGCCTGCTAAAAATAAACACTGATTTATGGGCCGTCGTACGTACCATGACAAAAACATACTGAGTGATTCAAATGCACAATTTTTCTCTGGCTATTTTATACAGACGGTAATTTCTCAGGTGATCAATAGAGAAGATTGTTATTAAATTATGATTGATTTTTCTGGAATTGTGTCACATGAATTTGTTGCTCCAAGAATTGATCTTTGAATGTTGCATTGTTGTTTGGCTAGCCTGGGAGGAAGGTTAGGTAGGGCACAGAAATCCCTAGGCAGTGGTCTCAGTTTGAATAATAATCTCAGTTTGAACTAAATTAAAAGAAATTCAGTAGCGAAGTGGTAAAACGGTTCAAGTCGATTTTCACTATTGGCTAGTTTTTAGTGAATACCGCGGAATCTAAGGGAGATAGCTAAATTTTCGTCAAGACCTTTTTCGTAGCATTCAATTTGCTCTAGAAAAAAGTTTATCACGGAAATTTCATCATCTCCTTTAGATTCGGAGATATTCTTCAAAAACTCAACTGAGAGATAAGTCGACTTGAACCGTTTTACCCCTTCGCTGCTGAATTGAAATTTAAATAAAATTATAAACCATTATAATTTTATTTTTATTGTGCATCATTTAATTTGAAGTAAATTTATGTACAAAAAATGATAAGTTTTGAAATAATAATTTTTTATTGCGCATTATTCAATTTAAATTAAATTTATGCACAAAAAAGATGGGATTTACGAAATAAATGGCACGAAAGACAGGTTTGTCTTACAAATCAAGAATGGTAACGTTGTTTGATAAAATTTTTATACATAAAAACATACATTCGTTCAACAATATAATTCTCGTCTCCGTGACATATAAAATTAGTAAAGACCAGCTTTGCCACTTTGTTAATTTTGGTGCCGAAAGATGTTCAACTGAATGCATTGGATTTTTTTTGCGACATTGCAGGCACCAAAATTGTTCCTCTGTTTCATCTATCACCCAGAACTGCCTTTCGCCTGAAGTATTCATTGAATCGATCTGCGGAAAATCTAAAACAGCAGAAAATTCACTCTCACTTTCTCTCAATTTCTCATCATCCTTTGCGTCGAGACTTACTGCAGGAAGTCGAATTCAATTGAGGAGTTGGCGTACTGGACTATTGCCCAGCAGCCCCAGAGAAAATGTGCCACCAGCACAAATTTCTCAACCTGTTCATAAACTTTCGTCACATCATCTTCTGAAACATTGTTACATTTGTTGTAAACTTGGAGGTACGTTCTGAGCCATGATCTCTGAAGTGCTTCACCGGGGTAAAGTGAGTAATCTATATTTTCAACACCTGAGAGAATAATTCATATTGAAAATTTTTAGTACATGAATGCACTGACAAAACGGCAATTGAAATTGAAAATGAGAGCGAAATGAGAAATTAGTGGGCAAGTGTGTGTATTCAAGTAACAGATATTTACATTTTGATACGCATGAAAAAATTCAATAGAAAACCTAGCGAATTCGCTAGAAAATTCTATTGAATTCTATGGGGTTGCTGTAGAATTTCTATCGGAATTCTACTGAAAAAGTCTATTTGTTTTTTGCGCTGATTCCATTGAATATTAAATAAGGAAAAGTCAAATTTCTGTTTGAATTTTTCCCTTAGATTTTTTCTATTAGAATTATTGGGCACAAATGTTCGTTTTCCACTGGATTTTGTTTTGTTTTGCATTGAAGAATCCGAGTGGAAAACAATTGGAAAATTGATGCCCAGCCATTCTTATAGAAAAAATCTCGGGGGAAAAATTCAAACAGAAATTCGAAATCTATTGACTTTTTTTTATCGAATATCCAATAGAATCGGCGCAAAAACGAATAGAATTCGTCAATGGAATTCCAATACAATTTTCTAACGAATTTGCTAGGTTTTCTATTAAATTTTTAATACGTGGATCCACGGACAAAATTTCCGCGACAAAATTCCCAAATGAAAGGAAAACTGAAGACAACTTTTCCGGCGATTATTGTATTGTTGACATCTGTTCTGCCGACAATTTATCCTTGGTACATCATATCCGTCGAGAAATTATCCGATATTTCATGTCTTTACAATTTCGGATGGTAAACAGTAATCAGCGAGGGTTCTCAATGATGCCCTCTCTTTTCGTCTTAAGAAAATTGTATCTTTTACAATTCTAGTGGCAAATTGAATTATTTAAAACGTGTTATAGCCATTTTGAGGCTGTAGAAGCTGTTGTGACGATGTTTTTGGTATGTTCACCGGGTAGTTTGAAAATGAAGCGGAGCGAATGCTTAAACGACTTGAAATTTAATGCAGTATTATTTGTAATTATACGTTAATTCGATGTCAGTTAATGATTGTACTGTACATTCATTAACTAATGGTAATAGCGTGCTCCTATGAATTGAGGGGAATTTGTTTGCTGGGGTGCATTGTTGTAATTGTATCTAAACTGTCAGTTATCGAATTGAAAATTACGAATTAAATGTTCTGCACGAATTCTGAGTTTCTTTTTCTTTTTGGAGACGTCCGGAATACTGCATCTGGGGGAAACTGTCGGCGAAAAATTTGTCAACGGATAAATTGTCGGAAATTTTGTCCGCGGATCATAAGTTACGGAACCAATTTGAAAGATCTGAGGAAATGAAAGAAAAACACAAGTACCGGCAAATTCTGCAAAATGATTGGCTATATCGAAAGCTTGATAATTGAAAGCTGTATATTCGAAGTCGATGAAGACAACTGATTTGTCCCTCGTATCATAGAGAATATTTGCAAGCAAAAGGTCATTATGACAATACACAACTGGACTGTCCAATTTTGATAACTCTTCCTTTAGTAATTTATATTCTTGTTCCAATATCTCGAATGGTTTTATCGTTTTTTCGTACCTATGGCAACAAACGAAAATTTAATATATTGATTGCATAATAAAATTATTTTACTTATTCCATTTATTATTATTATTATTATTATTATTTCAACAAAATCGTTTGATAATTATGGCAACATTAATAAACAGTCTTACTTGGCCTGCTTGACAGGATCCTCGAATTGCCTTGGCATGAGACTCATGAAACATTCTATTTTGTCCCAAACCATTGGTTTTTTTATCATCATAGGATCCTCTGGATCGAGTCTATGCATTTGAGCCATTCGTTTTGCAACGAGTTTGTAAATTTCCGGTTGTCTAACAGTTTCCACCGTCAGGATTTCTCCTGGCAAAAACTCATAGGCGAGGCCATTGTTGAAAGTGGCATACAAAGAGTGTGTATAGCCTGCTTTGTGTAGAATCTAATTTGAAAAAATTAATCAAGATTATATTAACAAGTTGGCAATTTTTTTCACTCCTACTCACCTTGATATTTCTTATTTCAGCTTGCCTGTCAATCAACAAATTCGTCTTCTCGCCATAAACTCTAATCAATACCATACTGTTGTACTCATCGAAATAAATTCCAATCAATCTGTTTGTGATTCCATCGGTAAAAATCTGGAAAAAAAATATGTGACATGTTTTTAGGTAGGGGAGTGTGGGGTAAAACGGACACTTTAGACTTTTTTAAAATTATTATTCATAACTCAGAAACAAATTGATCAATTGAGCTCAGTTTAGGCTAATCACAAAGGGAAAAAACTGTTCTTTGTATTGAAAAAAAAATTGAATTTTATCAACATTTCAACCCCTCATTAACATTTTAAAGAAAGTCAAAAGTGTCCGTTTTACCCCAACCTCCCCTAAAAGTCTATTGAATTTATCATTTAAAGTTCATGACAGAATTCGTTACCTTGAATTTCAATTGCTCTGTCGGCCAATTGGGTCTCAATTGCTTAATAACTTCCTTTGCCCCGTGAAAAACATTATTTTCATCGATTGTTACGTTCAAGTACACGTCGTCCATTCCTCAAACACAGTTTCAATTTCCTTTTACTCTTCTGAGGAAGAGGGACGAATTATTTAGACGTAAACCCGAAGTGATTGATTCAGAGAAACACTGATTTATTCTTCGCAACGAAAAATACAAATAGCAAATTTTTTCTTATCGCAAAAATTCCACGTGGAATTTATTAACCATCCGATTAGATGATAATTCAGCCACTCAGTGATACTGAATGAAATTGACGTTATCACAATATCTGAGTGGACAACCTCATGTCACGAGTGCCAGAGTATAACTGATAATATTCACTGGCGCATTACTCTCAGCGTTTAAGAGTAATGGACTTTAGCACTTCCAGCGTTCCATACTTCCTCCGAGCGCAAGGTTGAATTATTTGCTGAGGGCACGAGGGACCGGTATTGCCTCAAACCAATTGGACCACAATACCTTCAATAACATTTTATCATATTATATTGCAATTTTTTCTCACGATATTTGTCTGGTGCTCATTAGCGACGATTTTGCAAATTTCATATGGAGTGATCGGGCCTTTGTGGACATTTTCAATGCTAATTAGGCCTTATCGGTTACATTGATTATCAATCTTCGCTCTTTTAATTAGAAACAAATTTCAACTAGTTGATTTTTTTTTTAATGACAATGATAGTATGGAATTCTGCAGTTTGCGGTTGGATATATTGGATGTACTGCAGAGAACGGTAGAAATTGATGTTATTGATGTGTCATGCGTACGAGGGGGGTATTAGGTCAACTGGAACCACGTGACGCTCAGGGACGTACGTCTGATACAGATTTTTGATACTTTATTCTTCCAAGTACCTGTTATGACTCATATTGTTTATGATTTATGAGACGAGTGCTTATGAATTTTACATTTTTTTTATTGAAACAATACAACGAAAGGGAAAGAAAAAAACCTGGAGCGAGCCATGTTCTTCTAAATCTACGGATAATAAAAAATGCAGAAACTACCGTCATATTATAACAATATTATCATCATTATATTATTATTATTATCGCTAGTTTTGTTTTGTTACTCGCTATAGCTCCATAATTTTTCTGTTCAATCCTTAGTCTATTCAGCAATTTATCTTCAACATACACACTCATCATCCACATCCAATTACAACATTCTAATCTTTTACACACATGAAATTGAGAAATCTTTTTGAATTCATTCTTTGGCTATTAAGCCGGTCGGTTGTTCAACATTACGTTAAAATAAGGTATTCGCGTTCATTATATTTGTTTTAACCCGTCTGTGCTTTTCCTTATTAATACAATGTGGGCTCAATGAATTTTTGTTTTTCAAGTTCATTCGCATTCAGAATGAACCATTTCAATTTCAACGACTATGTGAATGGAAAACAGCACACGAATTCAATTGAAATTATTTAGAGTAAATTCTGGCTCATTTTTTTTACGAAAATAGTATTTTATTTGCCAATTGAACTCCGGAGGAAACTAGAGTTCACCGTAAAAATGTAAAAATACCGCGTTTATTGAGTCCAGGCCCGGGTGGATTATCTTTCGAACGTCATCTCGATTGTTTTTCCATCTTTATAATGTAAAATATCTCACAATTTCCATTGGATTTTACATCACGCAGGAGAGTCCCTAAAAATTATGATTGTGCAATAAAAAAAATGTAGAAAAAAAGTTGAACATTAAATTTTTTTATAAGTCCGATAGAAAGGAAATAATGAATGGATAATTTATCATGGTAACTAACGATCTGACAGCCATTGACTACTGTGACAAATGACGACCTAACAGCCATTAGATACATCAAATTATTAATTTGCAATTTCCTCTCTATTCGGTTTATTTCCCAACATTATTCAAAAACGCTCTTTGAAAATGTTCAGCTTTTTTTCAACGTTTTTTTGATTGTGCAATCATAATTTTTGGAGACTCCAGGGCTAGCTTGCCACAGTAAAACTGAATGGCAATTGTTAATCACCTCAGATTATAAAAGTAAAAAAACAACCAAGATCACGTTCGAAATATAGTCCACCCGGGCCTTCACATGAGATTGAAATGAATCAATAATTGACGAATGCTATTCGTTCGTTCGAAGGAGGAATGAACGTGAAAACTTGAGGACATTCATCGGCTCAGCCGAACGATATAGAGTCAGGCATTCAGCATTCAATAAATTTAAAGTTATGCAACAATGTTAAGTGTGCTTAATTTTTCTCCTCCTTCTTCTCGCCTTCCGGCTGTTGCTCCTGCTGTTGTGAGCCCTGATTTCCTTCACGCTCAGCAGCCATCTGCAGACACATAGAAATAATAGTCAGTCAGTTGAATTATAACCGAATATATATCACTAACGAAGTGGTAAAACGGTACAAGTCAATTTCGACTATTGACCGGTTTTCAACGAATATCTCGGAATCTAAGGAAGATAGCAAAATTTTTGTTATAACCTTTTTTGTAGAGCCGATTGAGTGCTACAACAAATGTAATCACAAAAATTTCGCTATCTCCCTTAGTTTCGGAAATATTCCTCAAAAACTCAACCGGAATATAAGTCGACTTAAACCGTTTTACCCACTTTACTACTGAAATCGTCTTGTCAACGTTTTCTCGTTTTCATCCTCGTCACGTACCTTCTTGTAAGCCATTTCGAAGAGCTTGAGACTGGCCTGCTGGAGCTCATTGGTCTGCTTCTTTATTTCCTCGGGGTCCATCTCGTCCTTCTTAGCAAGAACTTCTCTCACCTTAGCGATGAGTTCCCTCAATTTGTCACACTGGAAAAATCATAATTCAATAATCAATGAGCCATCGGTAATGCCATACTTGCTAGGATAACTCGTTATTTACCTCTTCCTGTGGTAACTGTGCTTTGAATTCGTCAATCTTAGCTTCAGTATCATGAACCATGCCCTCTGCCTGATTTACAGCCTCAACACGTTCCTTCTTGATTCTGTCCTCTTTCGCATACTGCTCGGCATTCTTCACCATGTTCTCAATCTCATCCTTACTTAGGCCACCACTCGACTGAATAATAACTGTAATAAAAGGGAATCATTCTCAATTATTATATTATTTATTATACATTTTTCCATCATTTTTGAGGAAAAAATTGATTGCATTAAGCAAATAATCAGGTTGTTTTGTCCACATACATTACCCATGGTAATATTGAGAGACGAAAAATATTAATCATCACTTTCATAACAAAAATTCGAAAATATTATTATTTTTTACATTAAAGAAGGGAATTTATATAGCGTTCCACATCTTTGTGACGTCATAGGAAATGATTGGATGAGATTATTATTATTATTATTATTATTATTATTATTATTATTATTGAGAATTATACAACTTACTTTGTTGTTCTTTTCCAGTTCCCTTGTCCCTAGCAGATACATGGACAATTCCATTGGCATCAATGTCAAAAGTAACTTCGATCTGTGGAACTCCACGTGGAGCTGGTGGAATACCAACAAGTGTAAATTGTCCAAGTAGCTTATTATCATTGGCCATTTCACGTTCACCCTGATGGACTTTTATTTCTACCTGTGTCTGTCCGTCAGCTGCTGTTGAAAATACTTGGCTCTTCTTCGTTGGAATTGTTGTATTTCTCGAAATTAACCTTGTGAAGACACCACCAAGTGTTTCAATACCTTTCATAACAAATAAAAATATATTATTTTTTATTGTCATGCATTGCAAAAATGACGGGCGATGAGTAACAATATTTTAGAATATAAACTCAGATTTCAAATTGGTCTTCTTCAAGATTATAATATCAGAGAGAAGATTAGTACTGGTGCATCATAGTTTAAGGTGTGAAGAAGAAAAAGGGAAAATGATCAGTTTCGGTGGATGTAAATTACCTAGGGATAGTGGGGTGACATCAAGCAGCAGGACATCTGTGACATCACCAGCGAGGACGCCTCCCTGTACAGCAGCTCCCACAGCAACAGCTTCGTCGGGATTGACAGCCCTCGACGGCGTTCTCCCGAATATTTCTTGTACAGTTTGTTGAACTTTCGGTACCCTGGTCATTCCACCAACGAGGAGGACCTCGCCAATGTCAGATTTAGCCACCTCGGCGTCCGAAAGGGCCTTCTGGCATGGCTGAATCGTCCTCTTAATGAGATCACCAACTAAACTCTCGAATTTACTGCGGGAGAGTTTGAGATTCAAGTGTTTTGGTCCACTAGCGTCCATTGTCAAGTAAGGGAGATTGATGTCAGTCTGGGAGGAGCTGGACAACTCAATTTTCGCTTTCTCGGCTGCCTCTTTCAGTCTCTGCATTGCCATCGCGTCTTTGGCTACGTCGATTCCTTGATCTTTCTTGAATTCATTTGCTAAGTAAGTTACGAGAGCATTGTCGAAGTCTTCTCCACCCAGGAAAGTGTCGCCGTTTGTTGATTTCACTTCGAAGACGCCCTTTTGAATCTCCAGAATGGAAATGTCAAAGGTACCACCACCGAGATCGTAAACTGCAATGCTGATAATCAAAACAACAGGTTTAACATTAGGCAATTGGGATAGATTATTTGGACATGTATGTAGTGCTTGCATTCTATTTAAAATAAGTAAATAAGTGAAAAGTCTGGAGAATAGTTTAGTATGAATACGCCAAACGCTCAAAGCGCGGACTAATCTAGTGTATATGAAGTTTATATTCAACATTTTCATTGGATAAATATTTTTATCCTGATTATTAAATAATATGCAGAATTAATGGCGTAATGATCTCATATATATTTACATTTTATCGTCGGTTTTGTCCATTCCATAGGCAAGTGCGGCAGCCGTCGGTTCGTTGATGACTCGGAGGACGTTGAGACCAGCAATTTGACCAGCATCTTTAGTTGCTTGCCTCTGAGAATCGTTGAAATACGCTGGGACAGTGACAACTGCATTCTTCACTGGCGTATTCAAATAGCCCTCGGCGGTTTCCCTCATTTTCATGAGGATAAAAGCACCAATTTGACTTGGTGAGTACATCTTTCCATCGCCCCCCTGAACCCAAGCGTCGCCGTTCGAGGCACGAACAATTTTGTAAGATACTGTTTTCCTGGACGTTAAATATTAAAATTAATTATTAAATATTAAAATATTAACATTTAATTTTATTGACAAAGGATTAACAGCCAAACACTTGACTTACATATCTTTCTTCACTTCTGGATCCTCAAACTTTCTACCAATCAGACGTTTCGTAGCGTAAAACGTGTTCGCCGAGTTTGTAACTGCTTGGCGTTTAGCTGGCATACCCACGAGTCGTTCTCCATCTGCAGTGACACAAATTTCCAGTTTAAAACATTTTCAAAAAATATTATTTAGGGGAGGGTGGGGTAAAACGGACACTTTAGATTTCTTTTAAATTATTCATAACTGAGAAACAAATTGATCAATTGAGCTCAGTTTAGGCTCGTCACAAACGGAAAGAATTGTTCTTTGTATTGAAAAAAAAAAATATCAAATTTTATCAACATTTCGACCCCTCTGTAACATTGAAAAAAAAGTCAAAAGTGTCCGTTTTACCCCAACCTCCCCTATTAAAATTAAGAGAAGGAAAATTGACCTTTGGTGAAAGCCACATAAGAGGGTGTAGTTCTAGATCCTTCAGCATTCTCAATAACTTTTGCTTGTTTTCCTTCCATTACGGCCACACATGAGAATGTTGTACCCAAGTCAATACCAATGACTGCACCCTTGACCCCATCAGACCTGTTTAATTAATATAATTAAGGTAAAGATCCAAAAACAATGCAATGGATTTTTGTCAACTTGTCATTTTACTCACTTGTACCGATACTGGTTAACCTCATATTCCCTCTGAGGAGCAGAAAGCGTCGGGGCTATGGACTAGAAATATTACAGCACATTGAAACATAAACTTTCAACTTAATGAGGCGATGATAATAATGAAAGTCATCAGGATTCATCGCCAATTCATTGGATCATTCTGGCTAGGGTTGAGGGTTATGTAACTACTCAAATTTGGAAATAAGTCGTCAATCATCTCGTCATCGAGGGAGAGAAAAAAAATTAGGAGAGAGAACTCAATAGATTGATCTTCAATTTTCTACTCTTTCTGAAATCGAGACTATGTCGGGGGTTGGTGAATTTGTTGAAACGGCACGCACACGTGCTACCGGGTGCGTGCTCTCTGTCTTCGTTTAGAGCTGTGAGCTATTCCATGTCGAATAAATAATTGACAACTCCCGGTAAAAATTTGCCAATGCAATGACTAGCCAAAACCCGTTGAATTCGTCATGAAAAACCGAGAAAATGTCTGATTTAGGGGCTTCCTGATATGCTATCGCATCTTCAATGCTCCCTCACGTGCCGGTGAGGGAATGGACGCCCGATACGATGGAGCAATCCGAAAATGCTCCGTATAATATACGTGCAAAGATTAGGAAAATACTCTTCATGCTCAGACTGACGAATTCAGTGGGAGAGAATTTTTGAAGTCAGTTGTGAAGGCAAATGAGCAATTACTGATTGTAGGAAACTGCGTACAACTTACGTTTTTGAGGATTGTGCTGAATTGCCTTCGCCTGCCAAGATCCTGTGCAAGTCCGTTGCAGTTGCGGATTAACAATCTCGATGCTCCCAACATTTTGGTCGTTTGTCGATGTGTTTGGGTACTTCACACCCAAGTTCTCTCAATAGTTTAATAATAAATGATGAAAAAAAGCACTAATGTGCACGACCGGAAACGAGCCAGAGGCCTGTACGACTTCACGTGTAGTGATGCAATCTCGTCGACTAGAAATTGTACGAAGCTCGGAGTCTCACGGAGTGTGCAACGGGCATGCGCGAGTTTCTATGAGCGAGCTAGTTACCAGTTTCAGCCAATGGGAATGCCATCTTGTCAGCGCTCTGACCAATAGAAATTCATTTTACTGATCCGTGGGGATTTGATCTTGTGAGAATGATCCCGAATGTTCCATCAAGTTCGAGGTAAAATTTTCTTTCATCTCAATCAAACACGTTTTATCTCTTTTTTTGTTTGCAAAATTGAATAATTATCGCATCTGAATTTTTGGCGCAGAATATAGACTGTTTTGAGGAAATTTGCAGAAATTTCCGGAATTTGAATGGAAATAATGACGTCACATCGATGGGAAATCATTATATATCTCTCAATATTCTCAAATCAAATTATCTGATTATCATTACTTTTTTTTTATTAACGTTCTTCATTTGTGTTGTTTATTACAATTTTGATTACATACATATAATGTGAATTTGCATTTTTCCATTTTTTCGTTTGTTTTATTGAATTATTTATTCTTCTCTCATTTAAAAGGTTGAACGTGTCAATATTATTATACAAATGACGAGGATAAAAATTTACCATTTTCTATTCATTTTTGGAAATGATTTTGTTCTGTCAAGTGCGTAAAAATTTGTTGAATGAGAATCAATGATTTACTTCGCTATCATTCATTCATTCATTCAATAATTGCATTGGTCACGGAGATAAGCCAACTCTGAAGGTATATTAATGTAATATACCGGCTGGCTGTAATCCATCGCAAGTGGATAAATTAATTATTTTTTAAATTTTCATTACAACGCATTTGATAATTCCCAAGTCAATTTTGTTTTCAAATTCACTCAGCCCTTGGGATTTCCCGTTTTTCTTTACATTAAAATGTGCACATTAGTCGTTAATAAACTGGTCCAGTGTGAGCTGCTTCATTCCAACTACTTTTGCAGGTAGTTCAACTCTTTTCTTTCTCGATTCTTTCTTTCGTACAATCACTTTACGAATCACAGGTAATCGATCAATATCAAATTCATTTTCTATGTTCTTCCTTCCAATGATTTCGTCGTTTTTTGAAAATCAATTGATTGAAAGTTTAGAAGAGATCACTATTTACATTTCCCTCAAATGTATCTGCAAAAAGAAACAACATAATTTCAATTGTTTAGAATTCAATAATGTCCAAAAACGTTTTAGAAATCATAGTAGAGATAATAATGAAGATAATGAATACAAAATTACAAGATTCATTTACTTTTTCAAGTGATTGATAATTTTATTTGTACACTGCCTCAGAAACATGTAATAATAGTTAAAGATAATTCATAATATTAATTAATCACTTTAAAAAATGATGCTACTTATTTTTTTTTGCTTTGTTTCAATTCATAATTGTTCGTAATTCTTTTTCGACATCAAATCCGTTTACAATGTACAACAGAACTCGTTAATATTTCTCCGCCCCTTATTTCCTTCAATTCACGCAGTAACACGCATTTATGTGAAAGTGTGTCACTTTTCTATTTTATTGATTTTTTTTACCGTTAGAAACTATTCTCCATTCTTTGATTCTTGGTATTTGAGGTTGATTCAAGTTCTTTTTATTTTTATCTTGAACGCCTGATTGAATAGCAAATTCGACTGAATTGAATTGAATTGATGAGGGCCATAATTTTTATTTCTCGCTCTCTCTTTCTCTCTCTGTCTCTCCCTCTGTCAAAATAATAAAGTTAATAATAAAGAGTGTACTTTGAGAGTGTACTTTGAACGTTTCATGCCTGTCGGATAAATAATAAATTCTATATGAATAATTTACCACTGTATTTACATCCAAAGAGCGCAAGAAGCTTATTAAAATCCTATAGAAAATGATGGTTCACACTGCATTCGAACGTTAAAGCACATCTCTCAAAAATCCATAGAAGAATAAAAATAAAGTTGACAATATACAACGAGTTCATAGGGGTGTAAAATAATTTCGATGCATTGAGCGGATCGGTTTCTGCTATCGAGTTCAGACCTAATAGCTGTCAAAACGACTGCTTCTGCACTTGAGTTTTTCATTTCACCACTTTATTATTTTCACCTTTTTACTAACAATTAAAAATTCCCTATTATTTATCATTCATGTATTTTTTTTTCTTCTGTTAAGGTCAATTCACATTATTATGGTATAATAATTAATTAATTATTATAGTGTCATTATAATTCGTAATAATATACAACATTTGTCAATAAATCATTTATTCTAAAACTCAGCGCTCTCACAAATTCATTTTCATCTTTCATTTTATACTCACTCATACGTTGCGCACTTATTATTATAATTACACAAAATCATAATTTTTCATGTTATTCATCGATTTTATTTTCTACATGAAATCACACTTTAGGGGCAACTTACTGGCTGCACGCGTGGCTCTATCAACTTATGTAAAATTCAGATGTCTGTTACACTGAGAGAAAAAATTATTCCTGCCAAGGATTGATATTCTCGTCAGAAGATAATATTTTTTCAGAACGAATTTTTCCAGGACAGTCATTTTCAGAGAGTCCAAGTCTATCCTCAAAAATTACAGTGATATTGAACAATCTGATTATTATGCTACATATGACCTTGACAAAATGTTCTCCGATATCTTCCGGATTTTACAAATTGGCGATTTTCTCATGTAAAGAAAATTGGAATAATTTCAAATGTTAATAATTATTATGGGAGTTTCTTCGAGGTCATATGCAGAAGAATATTCTTATAGATCACCATAATTCTCACGCTTGGAACTGATTTCGGAGCACCTGGAAATGACTGGCCTGGAGAAATATGTTCCAAAAGAGATATTTTCTTCTACTAAGAGTATGAAAAAGATATCACCAATAACATTTTCTTGGAAGGAATAAATTTTTTTCTCAGTGTATAATATTCTTCAGTCACCTTCAGTTTATTACATTGTTTTTGTCAGTTGATTTTATGCGCATTGGTCTTCGTTGAGTCTTTTGTGACATAGCTGAGATTTAAAAAAATGGTGAAATATCGGGAGTGTGATCGAGTTTGGGAAATTTTCCTGCTTGATGATTCGATTAAATTAAAATATTCCCATGTAATTCACCAATAATTCACATCTTTACGTAGAGGCTCATCGTGTTGAATGAAAAATTATATCAGTAAATCTCACTCGAAATTGCGATTTTATAAATTTTGGATAGTGTTTGCGGCCAATAACAAGTCCAAAACTAAGAAAATCATTGGGTAAGTCTGAATACAGTTAGGATCCAGATAGTTGGGTTGCTATCTCCCCTGTACATTTTGAATATTACTACATTTGTAATGATACAAATGTATTCATGAATTTTATCCTTTTTGAGTTAAGAATGTGCAATAAAAATTGATAAATTGCCACCGACAATAAAGAAAAAAGTACTTTTACGTAGTTTTAATAAATTAGTTATTAATTCTTCATAAGTAGTAAACAAAATTATATGCCACTTTTTGTTGTGCAATGCCCTCCAGAATTGAAGAAATAAATGTGTGCGTTAAGACAATTTCATACGACCAATTGTCATGAAAAGAACGAAAAAAAATAATCATTCATCCACAGAACAAATTGTTCAGTCACTCAGAATTCGCTTGCACAGTACGTACTTACAGTCTAAAAACCTCTTAGAATATTATATTCATTTATTCTATAATTATATCAATACTGTTGACGGATAGAGATTCATTCACAGCTCGCGCACGTCTAATCGAGCGTAAATTAAAAAACCCCAAAAACTAGAAATTGTCCATTTTTGTGCGCGGATGATGTACATGACCTTCGATTGGAGGGAAAAAAAATCAAAGAAAAATCTCCACGATTTTCCACCTCGTAGAATTAATTTTACTGAACATTCATTCGTTTCCATTAACCACTCCTTCACCCTCACTCCACTTGATATAAAAAAAAAGAATATTATTTCACATTGCCAACTATTTTTGCGTATCACTCGATCCCAAAACAGGGTATCGTAGAATTTATTTTCTATTTAAAAAATTTCGATGAAGAAATTCCATAATTAAAATTTGACTTTCATTAATTTAATCGTCTTTGAATTTATTCAAGTTTTAACTCAACCAAGTTGAACTTGTCATTTATTTTGTTTTATTTTTCATTAAGCCCCTGAGTCATTGACGATTCTCAGATAATGTTATCAATGTTCGAATGATGTTTGTATTGAATGTTCAATGAATTGATGACCAGCCCCCTGTTTGTTGGGTCACATGTGTCCATGCTGTGCAAGGATGTAATCTAGTTGTTGAAGGTAGAGTAACTGCTGTACAATACTTTGTAGTGGATCTTGACCCTGATTAGTTTGCGTAACACCTCCACCAGTAGGTTGAGCAGTTGTAACGGTATTAGACAGTCCAATATCAGCGCTCTCCATGGACATGGATGTTGGCTCAGAAATTGGAAGCTGTGGCATCATACCAGTTAACTGTCCATGATAACGCGACGAGGCGGTTGATGAGGTCAGATATGAGCTCGTTGATAACACCGTGTTCTCGCCCCGCTAGGGAGCCACGTTTTTGGGCCTGCGCCCCCGACGCCCCCTGGTGGGTGGGCGCGGGGACTCCTGGCCTCACTGGCTCACTGCGGGGCTCTTTTTGTCTTGCTGCTGTTGGCTCCCATCTTGCGAGCCCTGTACACTACCTCCTCCACCACCTCCAGCACCCTGCACACCCTACAAATTCAAGTTCAACTTCCTTTACTATTTCCTCTCGCACTCACTCACGCTTTTCCCCTCTCGCTCTCTCTCTCTCTTTCTCCCAATTTCCCATAACATTTCTCCCCAGCGATTCTACACTGAGAGAAAAACGACAAAGTCCTCAAACAAATCTTACTTGTGCTAAGACAATAGTTTTTTGAAAATTATCAAAAAATGATTTTTTTGTGCCAAACGTGCAGAGAGTGCGCTGGAATGAAAATTTTTTGTCGCAAAAATAGATTTAGTAGTTCAAAAAAAATTGCATTCTCTGTACACGCAAGAAATGTCATTTCTAGCACTACTCCTTCGTTATTCGATACTCCCATGCGTATTTTGCTCCCGAAAAATCTTTGTTTCATGCGAAACAAGGGACGGTAGTTTTTCGTCCCGGTTGTCTAATAATCACAGACAAGAAATGAACACTTAAATGGAACAATAATAATGATATGATAGCAATCTTGTAACTTAGGAATAAAATATTTGTTGATAAATTTTCCTCTATACCGGATATTTCCACCGTCTGGTGTGAATTATCCGCCTCTTGAGCCAAATATTTCGTTGCTGTCGAAAGCAGCACAATCATTCATGTCTGAGACTTTCAAATGCGAACCAAACAAATTCTTTTTTGGCAATTATCAATTAGCGATTTTGTCGGCCCAAACAAGACTTGTTTGACGTGTTTGTTTCTCTCTCAGTGTAGCATCTACTATCAATCATTCATTTTTACTTTAAAAATAAACTGCTTTGCGCAGAGGAGAACGTTACTCAATTAATTTTTTTTCTAACAAAAGTATCTCGAGTTTTGTGGAATTAGGAGATAAAATAAGTTCAAGAGTCTCAGTCGAGTTTATTTGACAAAACATTTTTCAGTTTATTAATTTATTTCCCACTTTCCGTTCATGAAAATAATTGTTGGAGCAGGGTAAGATACTTTGTTCAATACAATACAAAATGTTTCATCAGAGGAAACGAAGAAATTTTGATATTTTAATTACATGTTGCATAATTAGTTGTTGCATTATTGAATATTTCTACAATTTAACACTAAGCTCATTATTCCTATATAAATTATTTCGCCATAAATAACAACAACTCATTACCCAAAGAAATCGCCAATTGGTATTGATATTGATTAAAGTCAGCACTTGACTAAATAACACTGATCTGTCATTGGAATTGCGACTTCTCTCAAGACATTAATGAATTTTCCTCTCCTCATTCCAAAGAAACTCCAGAAATGACGTGCATCGAGAATTGGATCGAAAAATTTGTCGTACTTTCTAATGATCCTGATGAGATTTTTTTCGGTTGTGTGGTTTAGGAGATTTTCGAGGTTCTGTGTCGAAATCAAGTTTTTCCTGTTTTACCTGACTTCCGGGACCTCCTTGGGGTGGTCCTCCACCGCGGTCAGGTGGCCAGGAATTACCGGGTGTTGGTTCCGAATGAAATTGATGGGGATGGGGTGGTGGGCCCCCTGAGGTATCGTGACTATGGGGATCGAGACTATTAGCAGCATCGTACTGCGCGTTCTCAAGCCTTGTTATCAATCGTTCATCCTCATCACCAAATTCACCTCCCATCAGAGATGGCTCACCCACTACCATCACATCCTGTCAATATAAAATCTCACTTACTCTCTTCGTTCACCATTATTCATTGCCACTTATTGTACCCTTTTCGCCAAAATTTCCTTTTTTTAATTTTTCTGGGGAATTATTGATCGCATTGACGTGAGAAAACACACCGTTTTTGCGTTTTATCATTACTTAATGACTCACAAAATTTCATGATCGTGCAATCATTTTCCTGCGTTTTTTCTAAAACTTTTCGGAAATTCACAAAACTTTAGAAAAAATGCAGGAAAATGATTAGACTACCATGAAGCTTCGCGAGTCAGTCAATAATGATAAAACGCAAAGACGATATATTATTTCGCGTCAATCCGATCAATAATTTGCCAGAAAAATGAAAAAAAAAAAAACGTGAATTTTGGCCGAAAGGGCGTAGTACATCCTTAAATTAATAATGAAGAAATTACCTGCGATGCTAAGGAAAAGTTGGGCCCTGGTGATCGCTTTTTACTGGGGGCTGGTGGTGCATTATTTCCGGGCCCTGATGCACTCCCCTTTCGCTTTCTCCTTTTACTCGCAGGCCTCTGAGATTCTGCAAATTTTATAATGTTTTCTTTTAGTACTTTCATCGTCAAGCAAATTTGGCAAGGAAAAATATGCCAGAGAATTGAGAAGAAAAAAAAACGAAAAAAAAAATATCATCGAAATAAAAGCAAATTCTATCCAGCTGGGGACCTTTATTGTCATCAAAGGTCTCTGATACATTATGGCAAAAAGTTTTTCACTCAGGCATGCAGGCACACCACATATGTACAAATAGACAGATACTTTACGTCTTTGTCTTATTCTTTTTTTTAATGAAATGTAAATAATAATTTCGACAAGAGTCAACGAGCTGATTGATTCTCAATGTTTTAAAGAAAGAAGAAAAGTTGTGCATTGTTCCGAGGCTCTGTCGACCTGGCAAAGGAAACACGGTCTCGTTGGCACAAAAATGTTAAAATTTTCATTTCTCTTTTTTTTTTCTCTTACATGTTCTTCTTGAGAAACGGAAGTGAGGTGCGATAAGCTTGTGTGCACATACAGGCCATAGAGTGTGTAAAGAGTCACTCATGCAGGAATCAACGGTGGAGGAAACCTCGTAGCCGAATCCACAATAAATGCTAATTACTACGTGTCTGGTCAGGAGGGAAAAATAACAGGGAAATTTAATTTTTGATGGAATTGAAGCGATTCAATGCTAAACAGTGAAGTTTGAAAAGGGAAATCCCTCTGACTAGGCATGAAGCTACGGCTCCCGCCATTTTTGGGCTTGAATTGAATTGATCGGAGCCAGATACAATCAGAGCCATGGTTGGAACGTTGCGTGCAACTTTTGTTAAAAATTTTTGTCATATGCAAAAATAGTCAGTCGAAACTTTGATGCATCAACGAAGATCTCTCGGTGGAATTGAAATAACTATTTTCTGGTCCTGAATCCACTTGTTGGTGGATTCTCATGTAAAGCAACTGTCTGTCTACCTCTCTTACCCGGCGGGGCAACCATCCTCTGCCACTTCTGAAAAAGAGTTGTCTTCAGACAGTCACGCGGCGACAGTGCGTAAGCCTTGTGCCTCGACATAAGCTCCTGCATTGGCTCCAAAATGACACATAACTGTAAAGAACAAACAAACAATGAAAGAATGAGGACATTTGTTTTGGGAGAGTGGGGCAAAATGAAACAGTGGGGTAAAATGAAGCATGAAGCAAAATGAAACAGGAAAAACAAATTTTGAATTTTTTTTTTATCAACTTTTTCATTATTGGGAGTAACGACGAGAATGATAATCTTCTATTCGTCTCGTAATTCAATCGATTAGATTACACTTTTCTTTTATCATTCGATTGAAATTCAGCATCATATTTTCCTTTTTCCCCCTCTGGGTCTCCCCCAGGGCCTTCCTCTGGACCCTGGATTTTGCTGTTTCGTTTTGTTTTCAATTAATCTATTGACTGATTCTACTGAATGGAGAATTATTATTCTCATTAATACTCTCAAGAACAAAAGAAAATTAATAAACAAAAGTTCAAAATAATATATTTAACAAAAAAGAATTTTTTTTTGCTTGAATTGCGTCAAACAGTCATTTTCCCACTGTTTCATTTTGCCTGAGGTTTCACTTTACCCCACTCTCCCCTATATTTTCAATGTTTTCATTCACAGTACTTACCCTAAGATAATTAAGAGTAGAATTTGTGATGCCTTGTCTAGTAACGTTTTTGCTCAATAGTTCAATCGCCGATGGATCTTGCTGGGCTGTGTGCAAGTTAACATACGATCTGGGTACCAATTCTCGATGCTGCCGTACCGTCATATGCCACGATTTTATCCTCATCAAGTCATCGAAGGTGAATTCTAATATTAGCCTACCTTCTGTACACACCTGGAACAGAAAATCCTAAATTTCTTCAATTTTTCTTTCATTCATTCCCATCTCAAATTCTTCATATACAGAATAAATTATAAAAAAAGTTGGAATAAGAATTTATAAAAAATTTTACCTTCATAAACGGTGGTTTCCCGTGATGCGTAACCATCACACAATTTTCACAATCCAACGTTATACTCGTATTGTGAAATGACTCCTTTGGATGCTTCATGTGGTAATAAAGTTCTATAACACCTCCCTCGAATATTGAACGAAAGTACCTCGGTATTAACGTCCTTCCTATTGCTGGAATTACATATTCTTCATTTACTAAATGTTCTCAATGCAAACCACCATCGCACGGATGAAAAAATCGTATAGAAATTATCTATACGGATTGCGTACAGAATTTCTATAGGATTTTCGTATATGATATTCAGATATTTCCATACGGATGTTTTTCTACAAATCAGTAGCGAAGTGGTAAACCGGTACAAGTCAATTTTGACTATTGACTAGTTCTTAATAAATATCTCGGAATCTAAGGGCGATGGCAAAATTTTTGTTATAACCTTTTTTGTAGAGCCGAATGAGAGCTGTAACAAATGTAATTACGAAAATTTCGCTATCTCCGTTAGGTTCGGAAATATTCCTGAAAAACTCAAATGGGAGATGAGTCGACTTAAACCGGTTTACCACTTCGCTACTGAAATTATTTCTATACGATTTCTATAGGTTTGATCCTATACGACCCACTGCCACATGTATAGAAACATTTCGTATGGAGTTGTGACATTTCTCTACGTTTTTCTCTGGAGCGTTTAGACATCTTTCGTATGAAAACAGAAATTTATGTAAAAATTTATGTATAGAAATAATTCGTATAGAAATATCCGAATATCATACACGGAAATCCTATAGAATTTCTATACGCAATCCGTACAGAACTTTTCTATACGATTTTTTCATACGTGCGACTATAACAAACATACGTGCGTATTAATATTATGGATTTGTACTTGGTATTGATCATTAATATCTTATTAACACGAAATAGTTTTTATCATCGAATAGCATCATTCAATTAAGTGGCAGATCATGTGCATTGTTTAGAATTTTTAGAATTTAACATAGAATATTGCAATGAATAATAATCCAACACATAAGCTGTATAAACAGCTCTATTATTAAACTTTCCTGACATACACTTAACTTTGAATTTTGTAATAATGTACATAAAATCAAAACACAAAAACTGTATAAATAGTATGAATACGTCTTTGTCAGGAAGCCATTATCTAAGATCACGATTTAATTCACTACGCATTTTGTATCGGTTTATTACCTACTGTATCATATTCAGATTGTCCTTAGGGGGTCATTATGTCCCAGAACATAAATAAAAAGCTTATAAATAAATAAGTAAACAAAAAGTTTTGAATTTCACTTACTGTATCTCTTGGGTCCGTCTTCGAGGCAAAATGCGAGTGTGAGTGTGGCATCGTCCTCAAAAAATTCAGTCGCAAAGGAGTCCCACCAAAGATTGTCGCTTTCCTGAAAAAAAAAGAAAATTTGAGATTTCTCGAGTCTCCTTTAAACGATAAACTCGCATGAACCGAAGAAATTATTTCGCGTTGTGAAAAGTCCATCAACTATTAATTCTACATTCTAATCAATTTCTCATGATGAATTATGATTTTCTATTTTGGGGAGGGTGAAACAGGGTGAAGGAAGGGATTGAGTAAGTCAGTACGGACTGAATAACGCATGACTGTCTGGCTTGGAATTATAGCTGCATCCCCGCTTGCGGGTTGTTGGGGGCAGGAGGGTAGAAAGTATTTTTCCACTCACTATGTTTTCTGCATTTTCATTCAGTGAGTTTTTTTTAGAGAAATGGAAACTGCTCCATAGTTGATGATTATGTTTTTTCTCGAGTTTCATGATTTGTAATAATCTTGTGGGGGAGTGCGGGGACATGAACAAACGCGCGAAAAATTTCACGCATTCTCAAGCAAAAAGGATGAATAATCGTTCTCAATTATTTGGGTGTGTTTTGACGTGGATCCGTCTATGGTTTCAATATGGGGGGTCATTTTGGGAAACGGTCCTTATGTGCTACGCTATCTATCCGAATTCTAGAAAATTCTAGACGTTTCGAGGTAATTTGAGAAGTTTCTTGGAATTTCGAAAAAGTTCAAAGAGTTGCTAGAAATTTCGAGGAAATTCAGGGAGTTTCTAGAAAATTCGAGGGAATTCAAGGAGTTTCTAGAAAATTCGAGAGAATTCAAGGAGGTTCTAGGAAATTTGAGAAAGAAGGAAAGACCATGGACGTATTCACGTACAATTACAGCTGTATCGCAGATACAGCCGCCTGCAATTTTTATCTCAATGCAGTGTGTTTCAGAAATTTACCAGCTATTTGCTATTTTCTTTGGACATTTTTGACGTGGATACGTCTATGGTTTCAATATGGGGGTCACTTTGGGAAACGGTCCTTATGTGCTGCGCCATCTATCGGAATTCTAGAAAATTCTAGACATTTCGAGGTAATTCGAGAAGTTTCTGGAAATTTCGAGGAAATTCAAGGAGTTTCTAGAAATTTCGAGGGAATTCAAGGAGTTTCCAGAAAATTCGAGGGAATTCAACGAGTTTCTAGAAAATTCAAGAAAGAAGTAAAGACCACGGCCTTATCCACGTACAATTACAACTGTATCGAAGATACGGTCGCCTGAAAAATTTTCTTTTGACATTTTTGACGTGGACACGTCTATGGTTTCAATATGGAGGGTCTTTTGGGAAACGGTCCTTACGTGCAGCGCCATCTATCGGAATTCTAGAAAATTCCAGACATTTCGAGGTAATTCGAGAGGTTTCTAGAAATTTCGAGAAAATTCTAGGAATTTCTAGAAAATTCGAGGGAACTCAAGTAATTTCCAGAAAATTCGAGAGAATTTAAGGAGTTTCCAGAAAATTCGAGAAAGAAGGAAAGACCATGGACGTATCCACGCACAATTGCAGCTGTATCGAAGATACAGCCGCCTGCAATTTTTCAATAGAGCATTGATCGAGCTGTTATTTTGGCAAACCACTTTGGAAATGATGATGACAAATGTGCATTCAAAATTTCACATGGAACTAAACGTTTCTTCAATTATTAACATCTTCATGTTTTTGAACCCGAAGAAAACAAGTTGAAATTGAATATGCGAATAATAAATTTCGAAAAATTGTTATTTACTCTACTGTTAAATCAAAATATGCAGCAAAAAAAAAATTAAAAACAATATTCTTGCGTTTTCTGTACCTTTGGTCTTTTTCACTGACTGTACCACCCCACTGTTGTTGGAATGGGGTGGGTATAAGGGGGGAAAAGTGAGAGAGAAAGATGGAAGTAGAAGGGGGAGACCTAGGGGTGGTATATGATCGTGTATATACGAACCAGTAAAACTATTGTCTCAGCGTTCTATCTCTCGAATTTTCATTGGAAAATCGTTAAAATATGTAAAAATAAATTATAATAATCCGGCAAAAATACGTAAATGTTTGGAAAAATGCAATAGAGGTGCCCACCAATTTTGGTTAATTTTGGATTGAGGTGAAAGGGGAAAAATGATGTTGGATGATTTGTCTCTGGTGTATAAGGAGGTGGACAAAACTGGCCCGGTTGAGTTGAGTATATACGTCGAATGGGGCGGCGGTGGCGGCAGCGGCGGCGGCGGCGGCAGCGGCAGGAGAGAAGAGAGAGACATGGGGGGGAAGAGGGCCGAGAGGTGGGGGTACAATATGGGTTATCGAGGAGTGGGGAAGAGGGAGGAGGATACAGGGAGACGGCCCACCCCCGAGGGAAGCCAGGGGCCCTCATTTTATTACCCAGGCTCCCATCCGTGGCTCTCAACTTTCATAAAACTTTTCAGCATGAGGATTATGTCGTGTAAACAAGACTTTTCGTCTCTCTCCCCTCCTTGCCATCGCCCAGTCTCCGCTGTACAGTGCACATCGGAGCATCGTCGTGGTTGAATAGTTTGCTTTTCTGTGCCTCTACTCCTCTCGTGTCCTCTATAAACTCATTGGTAACATTGAGTCGACAGTCTCGGGCACTGACCGTGGTCAAGGATATCACTGGGTTATTGTCATTTATTATTTGGCTCTTCGATTGCGGAAGAGGAATTGTGGATCTATCATTGTCTCAATGCTCATTTGAGTACAAGAAATCAATTCTTTTCTCAATTTTTCGATCCTTCGTTGAGTGACTCATGGCAAAAATCTAGAGGAGAGTGGGGCAAAATGAAACAGTCAAAAAATAACTGACGCAATTAAAGCAAAAAAAAAAAATGTTTTGTTAATTTTTTTTTATGAGGCCAGAATCGGGCAAAATGGGACGTTTCGTGATCTTCTGTAATTGTCAATATCCTCATTTATAGGGGAAGATATTGACAATCAATAATAAAAATTTAATAATAAAAAATAAAAATAAAATAAATAAATAATATTGAAACAATATTCTTGCGTTGTTTTTAATATTTAATGAATTTAATCAATTTAATTTTTATTTAATTTTGTTTCAATTGGAAAAGATCTCAATACGTCCCATTTTGCCCGACCCTCTCCTAACTTTTTTGTTATTGGGAGTACTGATGAAAATAATAATTTCCTATTCGTCTTATAATTCAATTGAGTAGATTATGCCGATTACACTTTTCTTTTTTCATTCGATTGAAATTCAGCATCATATTTTCCATTTTCCCCCTCTGGGTCTCCCCCAGGGCCTTCCTGTAGACCCTGGATTTTGCTGTTTCGTTCTGTTTGCAATTAATCCATTGACAAAATCTTCTCCCGTCAAAACTCAATAATTTTTCATTCTACTCAATGGAAAATTATTATTCTCATTAGTACTCTTAATAAAAAAAATTAAGCAACAAAAGTTGATGAAAAAAATTTTGAATAAAAAATTTTTTTTTTGCTTGAATTGCTAACAGTCATTTTTCCATTGTTTCATTTTGCCCCACTCCTTTCTATGTTAAAAGTTTTTTCACACTCCATTGCATTTCAATCATTACAAATACAATTCTAAATGTATGTGATAAGTCAAAAGATATTCAGGAGGAGAGAGAGAGAGAGAGAGAGAGAGAGAGAGAGAGAGAGAGAGAGAGAGATGTCAGAGAGAGCACCCAAGATGCTTCTGTATTTTTTTATTCCCTTCTTGGCTATAGAACGCAGCAACCCCCATGAGAATGGTATAACTCTGATTAGTAAAAATTCCACCACTGTTATACGATAAATGCGGTAGCCATTCTCAGAGAGGTGACAGGGAAAATATTGATATGCAAATAATAATCATCTTTGTATCTTCCCGAGGAAATTCAAAATGACAATGAGAGACCACATCGACTGGTCTTCGTATATCAGCCGACTCAACTAACCTAAATACGTGGATATTGCAACGTTCCACTATTAATAATCCGTTTAATGGCCTCGTAACGCTATGGAGACTATGGGGACGTTGTGTCTATTATTACGGCTCATGCATGTACTATAAAAAAAAACTCATATAGAAAAAAAAACAATGAGACGAAGAAAGACTGTAATATTCCTTTTTCTGAATATAATTATTACTCGTTAGCGCCTGAATTGAGGAAATCCAAGTCCCTTTAACATTTACAAATTTCAGTATTTTCACCATTGAGTATGTAATTTCAGCATAGTAACTGAAAATTACGTACTCAATGGTGAGGGTTAACGAGTCGGTTATCCACCTCTAATAGGGAGTGTGAAAAGCTCATGGAGAAACTACTAAAAGAAAACGTCTCATGATGATACAGAAAATTTTTACTTTTCTACGCGGACAGAAATGTTCAGTAGAAATTACGGAACTCACAGTTCACTTGCGATGTCGGAATCGACTCAGAAAATTTACGTGACGATCTCGTAATTTTTCACAGGAGATTCAAGTAAAAATTACCGAACACTCTGGAAACATTGCGCGACGGTTCCGCAAAATTTCCTACAACCACATTTCGCTCCGGAATTACGGAAGAAATACGTTATTTTTATTAAATATGCAGGTAAAAATGACAGAACGCTCTGGAAAAATTCCGTGATTTTAGGTAAAATTACGTGACAGTTCCGTAAAATTTCCTACAACCAATTTCGCTGCGGAATTACGGAAAAATACGTAATGTTTATTGAATATTTCTCTCCGTGCAGGTAAAAATGACAGAACGCTCTGGAAAAATTCCGTGATTTTAGGTGAAAATTCCGTGACAGTTCCGTAAAATTTCCTACCACCAATTTCGCTGCGGAATTACGGAAAAGATACGTAACGTTTATTGAATATTTCTCTCCGTGCAGGTAAAAATGACAGAACGCTCTGGAAAAATTCCGTGATTTTAGGTAAAAATTCCGTGACAGTTCCGTAAAATTTCCTACAACCAATTTCGCCCCGGAATTACGGAAAAGATACATAATGTTTATTGAATATTTCTCTCCGTGCAGGTAAAAATTGCAGAACGCTCTGGAAAAATTCCGTGATTTTAGGTAAAAATTCCGTGACAGTTCGCCAATTTCGCTCCGGAATTATGGAAAAGATACGTAATTTTTATTGAATATTTCTCTCCACGTAGGATGAATACAGAAAAATCTTCAAGGAAGTATTCAATTGGATAATATTGAACTGGGAGCACATGTCAGTAGTGATGTATTGTGCACCAGTGCGAAGAATTACAAATTTTCGAGCGCATGATCTCCAGGAAACATCACAAGGGTAGGGAATCGGTTGGAAGGAGTGAAGCGAGAGGAGGAATGGAATGGCACTGAAAGAGGAACGATGAAGGGTGCACCACGGACAGAGAGATCTCACCAGGCGCACCGGAGAGTCAGGAGTGATCCCAAGACGATATAAGCAAACGAGAAGAGATGATTTATCGTTATGCGACACGCGACGTGCTGTATAATACTCTACCGCCTACACTCTTAATTCAACAACTCTCACAATTTCCGTAGGAAATCGAGAAAAAAAATGTTGTGAAAAATATCTGAAACAGGCTATTGACAAGCCGTCGAGCTGGATCGACGGACTAATGTGTCTTAATGAATTCATTTTGTCAAATAATGTCTACGACACAAAAATATTCAGAATCATTGAACTTAATAATGTCTTCTTAACTGTTTTCCTTAATTTACATAATTTTAACGTTCTCCATGTTCTACATGTGAATTTTTAATGTGATTTGATAGTACACTGATAGAATGATTCACTTGAAAGGTGAAAGTCGAGTCGAACAAGGGTCTTCAAATATGCATTTCCTAACTATTAAGAGGAGACTACTATGAGTTTTAAAGGTCGTGGGTTATTGGAGTTAGACTTTTCATACGTTGAAGATCAATTATGTAGATCTGAAAACGATAATTAGTGCAAAAAAAAAATTTTCAATTGTTCGTTTGCCCGAAAACGCTTAAAATGGCAAAAACAGTCCGGGACCTTCAATTTTTGAGCTACGAAGGATTTTTTTCTTCAAAATTTTGAGAAAAATATGTGGAATAACAATTATGAGCTAATTTTTTTTTAATTTGCTTTTTTAAAAGTTTTTTTCCGCGCATAGTGAATTTTTCTATATGAAAAAAGCTGACATCAGCTGTGTAGGAGTCGAATTAAAAAAAACTGGCTCGTAATTGTTGTTCCACACATTTTTTCGAAAATTTGAAAAAAAAAAAAAATCTTTTGTAGCTCAACAATTGGAGGCCCTGGACTGTTTTTTTCATTTTAAGTATTTTTGGGCAAACGAACAATAAAAAAAAATTATTTTTGCACTGATTATTCTTTTTCAGATCTATATAATCGATCTTCAACGTATGAAAAGTCTCACTTGTGTTACAATTGTGTTACGAGTGCGTAAAGAACCACTTTTTTGCTCGCACGCGTAACGCAAAGCGACGCTTTACGCGCGACCTCTGAACTTTACGCACCTCGTAAAACAAGCATTAACCAACGGTTTCGAAAAGCGAACTTTTCAAGCTGGTATCACAACAAATTTTATTCAAGATCAGACAGTTTGCGTTGAGAAAATTCTACTGAGGGACGAAAAAAATGTTGAATATTTAAACTCACCTCAGTCCGCTGTTGTAACCTCTTATTGAGCTCGTAGAGTCGGATGTCCGGCTGTTGGAAGTACGGTGTATGCCTCCTGGGGACAGGCAACGATCTGTCAGTGCAGACCGATGGGTCATGTTAAGGTGCGTGTATTACTGTATCTCATATTATTGTGTAATTTGTGTTTGACGTGTGTAAATTTACATTCTAATCGCAGTTAATTTCATTGAATCATGCGAGGTACAATTTTTTAAAACTCTACGTGAAATTCAGTAGCGAAGCGGTAAACCGGGTTAAGTAGTTTTTTACTATTGGCTAGTTTTTGACGAATATCTCGGAATCTACAAGAGATAGAAAGATTTTTGTCACGACCTTTTTTGTAGAGCCAATAGAGCGTTACAAAAAAAGTCATGAGAAAAATTATTGCTATCTCTCTTAGATTTCGAGATATTCAGCAAAAACTGGCTAATAGTCAAAATCGACTTAACTCGGTTTACCACTTCACTACTGAATTCATGACGAACCAGAACTTTAATTTACTTAAAAGACTTGATTCAACAATCTTGGCGCACCCAGAAACTCTCAAAATTCGGAACACAATATTACAGATAAGAACAAATAATCATTTTCATTAATTGGGGTCATATGATGCCAGCAATATCCATTTTCGCCCTCTTAAACATTACAGAGAAAAATTAATGAAGATAGTTCAAATTCGGGAGTTAAAAAGGAGGAAGGTTAAACGTCACTTGACCCACTGTCAATTAGTGTCAGATTCGTATGACTTGGGTACTTAAAGAAGCGCTTGAGATGTAAGTAATGGATATTGACGAGAGCAAGCATGTAAATTTCGTACATATTTCAGGGACATACAGGTGTGAGAAAGTCTTAAATGCATCCATGAAGATGTGTGCTCTTGGGGTAAATGCATGATTAAGAGGAGAAAGAAGAAGGTGATTAATAACATTGATTGTCTCAACGAGTATGCGGTAATCAAGGACTTGTTAACATTTTCATTTACTCTGCTACGTACTTCGTGTTTAAAATGAAAATATTATTGAAAATGTGTTTTCAATGATGTCAAGTCATCATTGGACAACGGTTTTCGAGGAATTCTCGAGACATTTTCATCTAAAGTTGAGTAAATGTGTTTTTTTTTCACGGCCAAAGAAAATTCTGTAATTTTTTCGACTGACAGCAGAGCATATAAAACTAACTTTTCTAACGTTAAAAAAAAATTAATCGCAATAGTCTCAGGAGAAATAAATAAACTCATTTTTCCTTATACAAGGGCTCTTATGAAATCAGTAGCGAAGTGGTAAAACGGTACAAGTCAATTTTGACTGACCAGTTTTCAATGAATATCCCGGAATCTAAGGGAGATGGCAAAATTTTTTCACAACCTTTTTTGAAGAGCCGGTTGAGAGCTATAAAAAATGAGTTATGAAAATTTCGCTATCTCCCT